CCACATGCTCAGAGGACCACAATCAAATGTCATTATTTGTGAGGTTCTACTTGACTTCACACCACACACCCTCCCCCCCCTCGCAGAAAAGGTGCTATCGATTGCTTCACGTCAGATGAGAAGGGCAATCAGAGAAGATTGCAGCATGAAAAAAAACCCTTTGGCATTTTATATTAAAACAATAGGGGTCTTCGTATAAACATGGACACAAAACCTTTAAAAAATACACAGTGGCCTTTATGATAAAAAAAATCATTGAAAGCTAACAAGATACGAAGCTGACAGCACCAGGAAGAAGCTGAAGCTATCGGCTAATATGCAATCCACCCAGGGGCTATGAAAAATACATCTTCTTTCAGGGACTGCAACCAGGGCTGTAGCGGGGACAGAAAAAAATGCTTTGTGGAAGGCAAGCAGAGAGGAGACTTCTGCCTTCATGTCTTGCTACGAGGAAAGCACAAGGGGCAAAAGAATGAGAGTGGAGAACCAGTATGTGAGATGAGGACCAGGGAGATCTGGATTTACTCCTCATTCAGCTATTAAGCTCACTGGGTGACCAGGGACTAGTCACTCACTCTCAGCCTAGCCTACCTCACAGGGCTGTTGGGAAAGTAAGATGGGAGACAGCCAAGTACACCACCTTGAGCTGCTTGAAGGAAATGTGGGATAAAAATGTAACCAACAAGCCTTGAGATCCCAATTTAACAGACAGCAATTTAATAGTCCAAGGTGGTGGTGGTGTGGAGACCCTGCCCTCCTCTTCTTCAGAACGAGACAAGACTATAGAGAAGGTGGAGAAGAAGGTAGGGCCTCTTCCACCCAATACTGCTGCATCCTAAGGATGTAGGACCTCCTCTCTGGCCCACAGAATCTGTGCAAGACTGCTTCAGACTCAACCAATTCCTGCACAGAGTGCTTGTCTGTGCATAACAGTGATGATGCATGTCTCCATGTGGCCAAATGTATTTGTCACGGGGAAGTGCTGCCAACAAATCAGCTGAGCCTCTTTCCAAGAGGAACAGGTGAGCTCAGGGGCGGGGTCCTGACACTTCTAGAGCAAAAGGGTAAGCGAAGTCACAGGCCTTTCATCCTTCCAAACACTTGCCAAGAGCTTGCCGTTCCTGTGGTATCTCAAATGGATTTGCCAGTGCAGCCCAAGGTTCTTTGGTTTGTCTGCATAGGCTTAAAAGAGTTATCTACTGTCCTGGCCCAGAAAATAAATGTGTCTCCAAAAATACCACAATTTATTTTGTTATTTACTAGCATCTCCCTCCCTACACTAAACTTTCCTTTTACTCAGCACAAACCCATTTATCAGCTTCTGAGTGTTATGACAATTTGAAACTACATAGACAAGAACTACTTGTAAATCACAAACAGCTCTTTTACAGCCTCTGGCTGGCAGCTAAGTAAATATTCCTAATGCAACCCTCCCGCACAACTTACAGCTGCAAAGCGACACAGCCAGGTTTTCTTTAGTCATGCGGATTTCCTGTGGAGTGGGTTTATATTTCTTCTTTTGGCACTTTAAGGAAAACAGGTGCTCACTAAATAACATTTATATTCATAATTAAGTCAGAGAAAAATGCCAAGGTGTTCTAGCTAGAAAACAGATCATGACAAGGAAGGGGAAAACTCAAATTGGAGAACACCAGCCTAGGGCAAGACTAGGTAGTGTATGTGAGAGAGACAAGTCATATTTTCCCCTCCTCTATTATTTACCCAGTAATATAGTCTTCATTTGGTGTGATGATGCAGGTGAGGGTGACGAGCTAGGATGGACTAAGCACCATCAAAGTTTAAGGAGCAAATGTTGTCTGTGTTTGGGACACTGAGGTTATTGGATCTTAAAACTGCAAACACCAGAAGTTAAGGAATTCAAACAAGACTTGATCTCCAGAGCAAATAAGATTAGCCAGCATGATTTGCAAGAATGGAGCACCTTAGCTGATGAGCCAAGAGGAGCAAAGAGGAGCAAGCCATGGACCAGGATCCCCATCCAGAATGAAAGCTCATATTGAATGGAGCACTTATGAATCTGTAACGTAGAGGAAAATGCTCACAGACATGGAAAGGGACCTGGGTCTTGTGAACTTTGTCCACCATTGCTATTACCACAGAATGTGGAACCTTCATGAAACTTACTCATTCATCACGGGTTGAAGGAAAGAGAGCCAAGAACAGACAGCCACTGTCCCTGCCTTAAAAGACCTAAAAATAAACAAACTGGCTTGTGACGACTGTTTAGATACACCTGATCAAGTGCAGTCCCGTTTAGATAGGTTGTACTCCACTACAATCCCAAGAGGTGCACTCTTTTTGTCGTCACAGCTTTGAATTCACAGCTTTGCAAGTGAAAGCTTTGGGGATGCAGTTCTGGCTCTAAGGAAGCTAATGACAATACTGCATTCCCTTGGGCCAAGCACAGCCAGGCATCTGAATCAAACGGCTGATTATGAGTCACTGAGGAGACCCAACAATTGCCCATGACAAGCTCCAGTGGATCCAATGCAATGTGGGATCAGCTCATGGCTGGAATTCCGGCGCCACTTACAATTTATGCATTAGGACTCACATTTTTGCAATGAAACCAACATCTGTAATTCCTAACACACAATTTTGCAAAGAAATCAGCTTTTGTAACTCCTAACACCCAATATCAACAATACTGAGATAGAAACTGAAGGCAGTGAAACAGAGATTGTACAACAATTTCACCTTGGGAGCATTTCAAGTATCTGCAAATCGAAAGCATAACATTATTATTATTATTATTATTATTATTATTATTAAGCTGGCTTGGGTTGTAATTAATGTCTGAGCATGAGAAGAAGAATTTGAACAAATTTCAACCCCAGCTCTCTCTCTGAGCGTTGTTAATGGCTGTTCTGTCCACTAATTCTGTGCTCCAATTTTGCCCACATCAACCACAGACGACATGAGCGGCAGGAAGGCAAATGAATTTTTAATCATCTCTCTGATGTACAGTATAATTGCTGACTTTTATCAACTAGCAGTTAAACAAAGACTTAGAAAGGAATAAACATTCCTTAATTGCACGTCTGCCACTGCTCACAGGAGGATAACCTTGGGAATGAGTAACTGGTCCCCATTATCTCAGCTAAGCACACACAGAAAGGCAGACATGTAGCAAGAGGCTCAGGTCAAAAATAAATGCTTCTCAACATCAGTTTGTGTGCTAGATACTTAAAACACAGCATAAAAACAATTAAATTTATCCGAGTTCTCATCTTTGTATAAAATATGGGGGTGGGGTGGGTTCTGCCCTCTCCTGCTTCCAAATGCAACGGTCCTCCCACCATCACAAAAGGCCTATTCTCTCAAGAAAGCTAGGTAAGAAGATCCTGAGAGGACATGAAGGAGAGAAACAGAAATCTAAGAATTAAAAATACTAGCAGGATTGGCACCAATGCTAAGCTTCATCAACGCACCATCTCCATTGCCAGAGCAGCTTGGCAAGTGCAGCTGGAGGAAGGCTGTGACCAGATGGAAACTGGATGAGAGAGTGGATATGGGAACCTTTCCTGCAGCTACGACCCCCTCTCTCTCATAGGAGTCTCCTTTGTCCCCCCCTTCTAGCAGGTGAAAACAATTTGGTTCAGGTGGGCTTTTCATTCATTTTGGTATTTGAAGCTGATTAACTATTATGCTGCTTCTGTTTTTTTGCATTTAATTTTATTTACATGTTTACTTTTTGATTCTTTTATTGTAGTTTTAATGCTGCCAGTCACCTTGAGCACTGCTTTGGTAAATGTACACAGGATGGAGGAAAGGAAAGGTGCAGCTAAAAAGAGGAGAGCAGCCAATGGAGAGAAAGAGAGAGCGGAGAACAAAGCCACTTCATGAGAAGCAGCGGAGATCAGATTGCCCTAGAGTTTGATGCATTTTTGAAGGGCGTTCTGTAATTTATGGTGTGTATTTGTGGCCCATCAGAGCAAGACAGGGCTTGGTCCTTGGCCTCATCCCACTTCTTTTGGTGCGCTGGATACTAGGACCCCTGGAATCGGGTGCTGGGCGAGGCGTAAGCAGGTTTCAAAAGAACTTATTTCTGTAGTGGTTGAATGACAATGTGCTGCTGATCAGAAGGGTGTCTGTAGCAAACATCCACTGGGGTCTGGGAAGCCTGGCAACATCTAACAGTGGAGGCAGGAGGGGAGGGTCTCCTTATGCCAGCACAAGAAGCTCAGCACCCTGACCAGCTGCCTCTGTGCAGCAGAGCACAGAATTGGAAGCAAGCTACATTTTATTCATCCGTAGAAAGATGATCCACTCCTCCGCACTGCACGATCAAAGCTGCTGCCTGCAATATTTCTTCTGCTCAAAATTATTCTCTCTCGCTCTTAACTAAAGTCTAAACTCTGGGGCATTTGACAACTGGCAATGCCAAAAGTCTGGCAGGCTGATTATACCCTTCAAAGTGAGGCAGATTTATGCTGCTGTGGCTATTGGTGGTTCTGACAAGAGTGGCGGCGGCAATTTCTGAGATTATGGTTATTATCATTTTACATAGTTACACTTTACATACTGTTTCTTAACAGGGCACACCAAGCCTCTCCAAACCACCCTCCAAGCCTCTGGTTCTTCCTTTACCCTCTCCTTGATGCTGCCCAGCACTTTCCTCTGATGCTCCCAGAGGCTGCTGGTGCCCAGCTCCACCTGCTGTGCTTCCGGGGGATGCATATGCTGCACCAGAAGGAACATGACAGCAGCCAGGACTAGACAGAGACAGTCACAAAGAGCAGCAGGCACATGCACAGGTGATGGCCTCCTGAGCACCGCTCTGGAAGGTGGGCTAGCTTGATCTGTACCCCCTTAACATATCCCCAAAACCGTGGCTTGCATTAAACAAAAATGAAGATGGAGCAAAAGTTGACATTTTGATGATCTGAGTTTCTCTTCTGGGAGTGATGGGTGTATTTCCATGGGAGGAGGAAGACAAGCATGCAGGAGGGAAGGAGGGAGGGAGGATTTTCAATTACCTGGCTGAATTGCTCCCAGGAATTGCTCCAGGTCCAGTAATGGGCCTTATAAGGCCCAACCCGTATTGCCATCATCTCGTTGCCACGGTAATAAAATATTGGCCTGATGGAGAGAGGGAAGGACAACAAGAGAGATGTACAGCCGCATGAGAAATGTAACGTGTCCAAACAAGCGGCTTCCCTCGCTTTTGGCAGTCACACAGATAAGGGAGACAAACACTTTAATGGAGCCTGGCTGGCAACTCAGCTATCACTCAGGAGCAGGTTGCCTTCTAATAGCCTCCACCGCAAGGTTTTCAATTAGCATTTTTTAAAGCGTCCATCAAGGCGAGAGTCTGAGTTTGCGTAAGCAAGAATGAAATGTTATGCAAGTCATCTTGCTGGCAATTGTTAATCCTTGAACTACCAGACTATGTAATTTCACACACAGAGCCTGATGGCTTAAAATACTCCAAAAGAGGGGGCACCTGTGTGATGGGAGCTGCAAAGGGTACAGGAAGCCAAAGTCTTCAGCGTACGGCCCTGGAAAGCCAGACTGTACAAGTGTGCTGAGAACACTGGCAAAGCAGTCACAGAAAGGGGAATTTTGAGCAGAATGGACAAATAATTATCTTGATATCTGCCATGTGAGGGACATCCTGTGCCCTACACCACCTTGAAACTACATTAGGGCGGGTGACAAAAATGTAGAGGAAAGGGATTTTTAAACACTGTCTGTGCTATGCTTGCATGCAAAAGATGTAAGAGAAAATTCCCCCACCCAGATATTTTCAGCGCACACAATGTGCATCAGCTGTTATTTTAAAGGAAGTTCATACTGGACCAGTACACAGTCTATTAGCAATGAAGAAAATTCAGTGGGGAGGTCTGCATTAATTCACATTTTCAGGATGGCTTCCAGAAAATAGCAGAAGGATCTGGTATAGTTTTTGCCCTTCACCTCATGTCCTGCCACTGACTCTCTCTACCCAGTATTCTTATTACTTGCATATGAACATTTGTTCCTAATTAGAGAGGACAAATATAATCGACATTGTATTATGGGTGTATATGTGAAGCTGCCTTATATCAGTCAAAATCACTGTAGTATAATTGTAAATTGCCCTGTGATCTTCGGATGAAGGGCGATATAGAAAATTTAATTAATTAATTAATTATAATAAATCAGAGCACTGGCCCATCAAACCCAGTCCTGTATACCACGCTGACCGGCAGTGGATCTCCAGGGTTTTAGACAGTTCTCTCAGTCCTACTTGGGAGATGCTGAAGATTAAACCTAGGACTTTCTGCAAGCAATATGTGCTCTGCCAGGGAGCTAGAGTCAGTACAATAGCATTACTTTAAAACACCCAACCCAGCAGCCAAAATACCCGACCCATTCTAAAAATAAGAGGCTCTAAAAATATCCAACTTTTTCTGCTCCACACCAGTAATTGGAGGAGTCAAGGGATGGAGAGCCGCGAGTGTGATGTTCATAACTCACCTGTCAATTAACTTGCCTTGCAGGATGACAGGCGAAAGGTCGATTCCGTCGATCTGTCTGTCACTGGGAGGCTGCAGTCCTGCCAATGCGAGGCTGGTGGTGAAGAGATCCATCACGCTTGCCAGCTGATGACTCACCTGTCATTGACAAGACAAGAGCATTTGCAAAACAATCAAAGCTAGCAGACCCTGAGTTGAGGGAGCTTCTGCTTCCAATGATGAGGTCTTAAGAATAGTCTCATCACCTTCCAAGATATGCAGTTCAGGGTTTGATTCTGGATTCTACTCCAGGCAGTTGGGTAAAAAGCTTGTGTTTAGGAAGCTTCTTCTCAGTTATCACCTATACTGGAAGCAGCTTACCAGGGTTTCAAACCAGGTCTTTCCAGCCCCTACCTAGAAGTACTGCAGAAGCAGCCTGGAATCTTTTGCATGCAAAGTATGTGCTCTAAAACTCAGCAATGGCCCTTCCCTGGAGGGAAACTAAGAATCCTCATGATTCTGAAGGAAGGAATTATTAAAATAGGATCAGCGGAAGCTGCCTTTTATCAGATTCAACAGTGACTGACAACAGCTTTCTGGGATTTCAGACGGGTCTGTTTCCCCATCCTACATGGAGATTCCAGGAATTGAACCCAGAGCCTTCTGCATGCAACACATGTATTCTAACCTACAGCCATGTACCAGCATTATTTCATTTTTACAGCTAAAATTTTGTTTTACAGCTAATTTTTTATTCTGTGAACCACCCTGAGACCTCTGGGTATAGGGCACTATATAAATAATAATAATAATAATAATAATAATAATAATAATAATAATAATAAAAAACAACCAAGTACCAAACTACATGGCCCAAGTGTCTTTGCGGGAGGGAGTGTAATCATCCCACCTCTTGTCCTCTGTACTTGTTCTTTCAACTCTTAGACCCAAAGAAGCCGGGTGCCGGGCCTACCAGCAGAGGTTTGCTAAGATACCTAAAGGAAGCTGCGGAAGCAGTAAAGTCGCACACTCACCAGTTTCAGAGCAGCATGCGATTTAGAATTTTTGGACACATTCTCATGATTGAGATGATATATAAGTTTAAAATAATACAGGTAAGTGATGAAGTGTAGTATGGTGGTGGAGCTTTTCAGGGCGATGAGAAAAGGATACTTCTATACAATATGGTAGTAGTTGGAACCTGCATATTGTTTTTATGGGTTCATGTTTGCAGTTATATATTTCAAAAAATAAATTTAAAACGACCCTTTCAGAGCAGCAATCAAGGTCGAAGGCTTTTGGAAGCAGCTGCTGAGCCCAACAGGAGCAGCATTTCTCCAAGCTGGGCTCCTGTGGACCACGTGATGCTGTAAATTCTCCAAGCTGCATTTGGGCTGGAAGGGCAGCGGCAGGGGGAAGAGGTGAATGGTTTAAGGTCACTTTTTAACACAACATTGTGGGTAAACTCAAAGAGCCTTTGATTTCTGTCCTGAATCAATAGACTGGCCAGTAGGGAGCTGCCAGCGACTTCCTTGTACCTGCCCCTCGCTATTAAACAGAGCCTGGAGTGCAGGCAGCTCACTTTAAATGGCCAATTACATCCGTGGTCTTGCACGCTGTTCTCTCTGCGTAAAGGGGGAGAAAACTTCTTAAAAGAAATTAAACGTCAGTGTTACAGCCACTTGGTTTTATCTGTAGCACCACATTAAAGAGAAGAACCGGAGGGGGGGGGGAAGTGGGGCAGGGAGGAGGTTACGATTTTTATATAAACTTTGAAGTATTTTCAGAGGAGAAATAAGGTTGGGGGGGGGATTTAGTATTTTCTTGCATTGACAGCACGCTTTCATTTTGCTTGCAATTCCTGTAACAAATGGGGGGGGGAGAGGAAGGATATTCTAGAGAGTAACAGCCCAGTGAAAAATAAATAATGAAAAACAGAGGAGCAAGATCAGATATTTCCAGTATCAGCAAGGAACAGCCGGTATTCCGCAAGTAAAGAAGAGGTTGTGTGTTGTTTTTTTAAAAAAATGTTATATATATATATATTTATAAACTCTCGGCATACACAGAATGTCTTTAAGAAAATGAAATCCTTTTTGCTCTGGGCCACATTGCGAGAAGAAATAGCCAGCGCCAGCGTTATCAGTGCTTTCAAGCTCTAACTCTGAATCAAAGGCGACAATTAATAAAGTTGCCCCCGCCAGGAATGGAAAGGGGGAAAGCTAAATATTTGAAACTGGGTGAACAAATGTCAGGGTGTTTTTAAATAAAATCCTTTTACATTTATCACAGCAAGCAGACCTGATATCCCTGTCTAATTCAATTTCAATTTGTGCCCTGTGGGAGATAGTGAAGAAAAGGTTGCACTGCTGTCTTTGGGTTGATATGTTCTTTTCTCCTTCAGGGAGCAGAACCAGGGAGGTGGGAAGAGGGGAGCGCACGCGGGGGGGGGGGGAGGGAGAGCTGTGGCGGTGGTGGGAGGGGAAGAGAAAGGAAAGGAAAGGAAAGGAAAAGGAAAGGAAAGGAAAGGAAAGGAGGGGGGCACAGAGCAAACAGAGGATTCAAAGAACAGCAGAATACAGATTCCTGCCAGCAGGATGCTTCTAGAAGGCAGAGGCAGCATGGGAAAATGTTTAAAGTTTGTTTTTGCTGGTTATGAATCCACCTGGAAATATTCAGCCAAGACTTTTGGGTAGTGGGGAGAGCAAGAAATCCAGAAAGAGTGCTTCTTTATGTTTCCACAACCTAAAACAGTATGGGCAAAAAACCCTATGAAAACTGACACTATGAAAACTAAGTAAGGAGGATGCTTCTGGTTCAGAAAACTCTCCTCCAGAACTAACCCAAAAAACCAAAATCACTCACTATTCTCTCATTCCAATTCTGCTGTACCATGTTCCTTTATTCTTATATTTAACACACTTTCTTCAGTTTGACTAATGTATGTATAATTAGTACATTCCCCATGTCTACTCTGTTTGCACACTCAAGAATTTTGACATGCATATCGACCTTCTGAGAACTTCTGCTTTCATTTGAAGCAGTTTCTAGCCCTCATGTTTGAGAGTATAATGAGGAATGTCTGTAGAAAGCTTAAAAATGCCATCTTGAGACAAGATTACGATAGTTCTCACATCAGCTCCATCCAACATGGCAAGGGCTGATGGAAGCCGTGGTCCAAATCATATGGAGGGCACAAGGTTGGCAAAGGCTCTTGACAGTCCTTAGGAACAGGTGCCTGTTCTCTCCTCATTCTTTGTAAACTGCCATGTAGGTGGGTAGCTCGGTATCAAATTAAAGACAGCCAAAAGAAACAAAAACAGATCAGCTTCTGTAATACAACAATGGCGGAATACAAGGTTAACTGAGGATTTTTTCTGTTGCAATACATTCCTCTGGGAAGGAGCTTTTGCCCTCTCTTCAAAAAGAGGAAACTCCAGCCACGTAAACAACTTCCACTCATGCCTGTATTGATTCCTAGATTTCCAGAGGAGTAGCTGCCTTAGTCTCCTGCAGCAAAAACAACAAAGGGTCTTGTAACACCTGAAACATCTAACAATTCTTTTCTGGCATTAAGCTTTCATGGGCTGCAGTCCACTTCATGATGCATGAGGTGTTATCTACGGATGTCCTAGAGATATTTCTGGCATTGATTATGAAGATAGGCTGTGAGCTACTTCAGCTTCAATTAGGCAACACAGTAAAGTAAGGAGTGAATTAAGCAATGCAGATATGCAACGAAAATCTGTAAATATGTCCCACTGAAATCCTTTTTTTGTAGAGGGAGCAGATAGAAGAGGTCAGGAAACAAACCTTGAAAAGAGGGGCTCAGACGGGGCCTGCTGGCTGAGGATCAGAAGTATGAGCATTGCTTGTGTGCAACATTCAGAGACCACTGACCTTTGCTTGCAAAGAGTTCACCCACACAAACACATCTGAATAGAGATCCAAAGTGCTATGTTCAACATTTTAAAGAGGACGACATATGATTGTGTGCAATACACATTAACAGTGACAAACCGGAAATCATCTTTCCACTTTATTCACTGGGTTTAAGATATCTGGAAGCATCCTTTCCAGTCAGTCAATGATATGGTGCACATGTTAACATTGAGCCAAACCATGACTTAATGCAAACAAGCAAACATGATGATCACAGGGAAGAGCATGTTATGGTCGAACCTGGGCTCATTGTTTGTCTCACTCTAAACCACAAGGTGTGGCCAATGTTTGCTATTGGTTTACCACTTGTGGTTTGTCAGGGGGACAAGGCACGATTCAGACTTAACACTAAGCTAAACCATAATGTAGCCCCAGCAGCAACAGGACCAAGGGAGGAATGCAGCAGCCAAGATCTTCACTCTGGGAACATGCACAATTGCTCATACCCACTAAGCCATGGTGTGTGGTTTAGCGTTTTGTGCAAGCTGGGCCAATGTATCATTCATACAGTGCCTTCTTCTCAATTTAATTAAAAAGCCTTGAAAGGAGATGTAGATTAGAAACTAAAAGTTTTCTTCGTCCAAGAGCACAAAGATTCATAAAAGTCCAGTTTCTGAATAGCTCTCTCTCTCTCTTTGGAATGAAGATATCCACAAAAGAAAGAAAACACCCATTATTTACTTAGAAACCTGTTTCCTGCAGGCTTTGATTGTTTGATCATTAATGAGTACCAAGATGGTTTCTTGCACACACCATTGTTGCCACCTGAGGAGAGCTACCTGCTGGTTACCGTAGAGCTCAGAATCACTTCACATTTAAGCAGAGAAACAGCCACATCCTAGTACACAGACCTCCCTCAGTGCAACAGTCACCTAAAAATCCCAACCCACTTTTGTCTAGTTCCAGGGTCTTGGATGCTTTAGGACAACATGCGAGGGCTGCTTCCCTAACATGAGATCTGCTAAATATCAGTTATAAACCCATCACTGTGCAGATACAGGAGGATTCTGTTCCAAAGGGCTCACAATTAAAGCTAAGTCAAGCTAGGGAGGAGGAGTGAGCACACATACTCCACTTTAAACATGTGCCCTGAATATTGTGCATGCACTTGTTACAGGTAACAGTGTTGGCCCTATGGAACAAGCCAGCAATCTGGAAGACAATTGGGGATGCTTAGGCGCATAGCTCTCATGGCAATGGCCTGGGTGGGTATCAGCAACTGTACTTTACGAAGGCAGTTCATAGTGCCATAGGTAAGCCACTGCTGCACAGCTTTAGTCCTCCCAGTCTCCCCACTCCTTACCCCTCCAATATGGGGGATAATAAAAGAGACTTCCTATGTAGCCTTACTATAACGGTTATGCATCCAAAGTAATGCATGTGAAGTGCTTTCAACTCCTGACTAATGTTAAATATTACTATTGTTATTTGCTTTATAGAAGGCTAAATATAAAATTAGGTAACTTTGCTCCAACAGCAGATTATCATGATTGGTGTTCCAACATTTTGCTTTGCCTTCCTACAATCTGTTAGGAAGAACTGAAGTTGTTTGTTCTAACCTTCTAGAGATACAAGGGGGAAAACATACTGAAACAGGTTGAACTGCCACTAAAAATGTCTAGGCAGGATTGGAGAAAGGTCATTCTAACTATAAGGGTGATGGAAGATCAACTGAGTTACCCTGATGATTATTCTAGCTGCCTAGGAACATACAAAACTGCCTTATATTGACTCAGACCATTGGTTCATCTGGCTCAGTGTTGTCTGCACTGCCTGGCAGCGACCCTCCATGGATTCAAAAGGGTGCAAGAAGCACACAAAGCAGGAGGCCACACAGTGCAGGAGAACGCCCATCTACAGACCAGAGGATTGCAGTTCTCACAAAGGGGGTGCAACCAGGGAGAGCAAGACTGGAGGCAAGGGCTCAAAAGGCCTCCGTCTACCTTTAGCCTTGTTGGAGCAAGTTGCTCACTCCATAGTGCTGCAACACCAGATCTTACTGCCGTGCCTGGAAGGCTCTTCTGCAAGATGAGAACAGGTCTCTCTGACTAAAGGCCCACTAGAATTCATTAAAAAGAAAGAGACACCTTCAGAACAGACTGTAACAAAGTCATTAAATAACTCCAGACTCTCACCTGCCCAGCAGGTACATGTCCTGGCCACCAGGCAATTGCTGGCTCTCTCATGCCACCTTCAAAGGTAGTTTGCTTGCCACATAGGAAAGGGCCATTGCTACCAGCTAGAGAAAGAGAAAATAGTAATTCTAAAAGAGCTCTGGGGAGGTATGACTTAAAGGTGAAATAAGCAAAACTAAAGGGTAAAACAAACCTATTCCCCAAGGACACCACCAACGAATTTTGTTCAAGTCCTTTGAACAATGTCAATCAACATCATAGTCTACATAGCATATTAACCCTTCCATCCTGGACATTTGCAATAGAATACTGACCTGTGACACTGGTGTGACATCACTGAAATATCATAATGACAACATATGCTTGATGTTCGTTTATTTCTTGACATTGCAGCTTTTAGAAAACAAGCTTTAAGTCTCAGCTGAAGATCGTTTTTTAGCCTACAAACTACCATACAAACCTTAACGCATTCATCCTCTTAAGTGTTCCAGAAGATTAGGCTCTTAATTATTATTGTTATTATTATTATTAACATTTTTATGAGTAGGGAAGGAGGCTGAGAAACAGGGATTTGCTGAAGGCTATAAAGAGACAGAATGAGACCCCAGTTTCCATTCAGTGGATTGGTTAACCAATGTCAAGAGTAATTTCCAAAGTACTATTGTTTACTTCAGTCTCTTTGCATCACCATTAATTGTAATTTGAATAAAGGAGAAACAAGGTGATTAGTAGCAGACAAATTTTCCTGTCTCTCTATACTAAAGATCACAACTGCAAACAGACATAATGTTCTAAATCAGCAGCCAGTTAGCAAAGGCCATTGCTGCTCAGCTGAAAGTCAGGAGTTGCAGGAGGTCATAAAAAGAGCCAATAACTTGACTGGGATTAGAACTCGTGGCAATTCCTTCTGATCTGTATGCTCCTGAAATCAACCTCAGAGTTGCCTCTGAGACTGCGGGGATGGGATGTGTGAACAAATTACAGGGGGCAAGTGATTAATTCACAGTGACTGTGCCCAAGGGAACTAAAAACCAAAAAGTTGTGAAATGGAGCAAACCTGTAAATGCAAGGGAATTGTCATCTTAACAGCTTTTCAGAGTTCAGCAGACATGCTTGTAAGATCCTCTGCATTTATTGAGACATGCCAAGGAGAATTTACAGATCTGGGGCTTAATAAGTTGGTTCAGATGTCAGCAGGCCACATTTTACCTGTTAGATCTTAGGAATAGACCAGTTAGATATTAGGAACAAACTAGGTGAAATGCGGAAGTCTCAAATTCTCTATTCCTAACTTGACAAGCTCTGTACCAGGAAGACCAACCTTGATCAGGACCGGAAACAAGGGCAGCACCGTTGTCAGATGTGAAAAATACGAAGGTGTTGTTGCTTATGCCCAGCTTTTGAAGGCGACTCAGTATTTTCCCAATGCTGTCGTCAATTTCTCGCACTGCATCACCATACCTGAGAGGCAGGGAGAGCAAATGACAAGCCTGTCAAGTGGGGGTGGGGGGGTGTTTGTGTTTAGGACTTGTAGATTCTGTAATATGCAACGGTAATATTTATTTATCTGTAAATAGTTTCCAACACACTGCTCTTAAAGCTGCTTACAACAAAATAATAAACACATTATTAAACAACCCCCCTTTTTAAATCAACCAGTTCCAAAAATAGCAAGGGTTCAGAAAAAGTGTTTCATTTACAAAATAAATTTTATAACAGACTGCTAAGGGCTGAGGATACTGGTACTGATAAGGAAGATGTCACTCTTTATTGGTTTTAGGCAGCTATTACTCATCTATTTGCTAATTGTTTACAACAGCTTATGAGATCCCTGCTTACAGGATTCCCATTTGGGCATCTGGCTGCACACTGTGAGAAAAAGATGCTGGACTAGATGGGCTTTTGGTCTATTCCAGCGGGGCCCTTCTTCTTAAAGGTCTTAATACCAAGCTTTTAGTATTTCTTTTAGGTACTGTAGATATTAAGTATTCAGTGATTTTAATGTGTTGACTTTATGTAGTCAGTATAAAAGTTAGCACATTATATTGGATTATATTGTTGGTAAGCCACCCTGGAACGTTTCTTAATGAAGGGCAGTATAAAAATGTCTTAAATAATTGGAAAAGGAATGAGTTATTCTGCATATTTGTTTGGGCAAAAAATGTTTCTTTCCAGTTCTTCAAATATGGAGTCTTTTTGGGAACTTAAATGTGTAAAAGCACATGCATGTTTACTCAGAAGTGAGTCTTACTGTGTTCAAGGGGGCTTACTCTCAGGATTGGATTTTTTTTCACCCTGACCTTGGAGTAAGCTCTGTTGAATGAAGTGGGATTGAATTCCAGGTAATATGCACTATTATTCTAGCAAAAGCTTGAATAGGTCAGAGTCCATGCTGTCAAGATGCATGAGACATTCAGGTCGATTTTAAGATACCATAAACCTCTTTGTTTTTGCTTTAACAAGACGGCTACCCACCTGGAATTTACAAATCTTAGTTACCGTATTTTTTGCTCTATAGGACGCACTTTTCCCCCTACAAAAATTAAGGGGAAATGTGTGTGCGTCCTATGGAGTGAATGCAGGCTCCTTGGCTTCAGCGATAGCAACGCAAAGCTTCTGAAGCACAGAGGGAACACTCCCTCCGTGCTCCAGAGGCTTCGCGTTGCTTTTGCTGAAGCCTGGAGAGCGCAGCGCAAGTTCCTGCTGCGCTCCGCAGGCTTCAGGTTCCTTTCGCTGAAGACAGGAGAGCAAGACTCTCCCGGGTTCAGCAGGGAGGGAGAGCTGTGCAGCGCCCCTTCAGCGAAGCAGGAGGAGAAAGGGAAGGGGCTCCGTTTCTCCTGCCACTTCGCTGAAGGGGCGCTGAGCAGAGAGGGGGAGAATTTTTTTTCTTGTTCTCCCCCTCTAAAACAAGGTGCATCCTATGGTCCGGTGCGTCCTATAGAGCGGAAAATACGGTATGTTTGGGGAGGGGTATGTTGGTTGTTAGAGCAAAGCTCTTAACTGTTTTTAAAAGTTTTATTTGTTCATAATCAACACATTAATTATTAGGTATTGTTTTTATATATAGCTCTTAGTTATATTCAAGTGGTCACTCAGTATCACCAAGAGAACTTTCAGATGAGCTCCCAGAAAAGCTAAACATCCAACAGCAAGACCCATCCACTCTCACAAGGGAAGCTGCTGATCACCACAAAGCTGGCTCCCTTCTTTCTGATTTGGGGGCCTTTTGACCCTAACCCTAACCCACTCCATTTCAGCTGGTCATCTTCACTCAGCACAGAATGTACTCAAAGCAAAACTGGCATGGATGGTGAGGAGAAGAGGAACCACAGAGGAAGCGTGTGTGTGGACAGGCACACACACAGAGTACTTGAAAGTTGCAAAGGAAATCTTAGTGCAAAGGATGGGGGGGGGGAGTCTTCCAAATTTCTTAATCTCTGATGCTGGACACATGTTCCTGGACTAAGCCCTGGTGATTCCTGGCTCAAATTAACCTCTATAAACAAAATTGGAGAGAGGAGGGAAGACACCATCCACTAAAAACACCGTCTAATGCACCATCAAATCTAACGTGCACCTTAATTTTCAGAAACCTGAAACAAAAAAAAGTATTTGCTGGCAAATGTAAATGTGCCATCAAATCTAATGCGCACCTTAATTTTTGCAATGTAATTTGGCCAAAAAAGGTGAGCATTAGATTTGAATAAATACAGTATTCAGAAAGCAAAGTTACCAATCTACTGTTTAAAAAAATAAAATGTGGCCATTTTAAACGTTATTTTTGGTTTTGCTTCGGGGTCAGTTGTCAGAAAATGAGAGTCTAACTCTTCCCTCCAGGTTTTTTTGGGCTGTACACCTTTGATATGACAGCTTTTATGCTTGGCTCCCTGGCTAGATAACCCTCAGATCAGCTTTGGTCTTGCCTTCAGACTGTACCCAGGTACCAGAATCTTTGATCTCAATCAATAGTTGTCAACCCTATTTGCTTTGGATGCAAGACTTTTATTTCAGATTGCAAGAGAGTCTTCAACCGAGGATAAACACTCTCAAAGCACCTGCTGCTCTTTAATGCTCATAACACACATACTTTTAAACTTGTAAGTTGTGATCTCTATTGTCAACCACCACTGTTCTTGGTTTTCTTCTAGTGCTTTTCTTCTAGTGCCAGAAAAAGGAGAGGAGGAGGAAATGATACTTCAGCTCAAAAAGCGACTTACAGCCCTCGTTGGCTAGTGCCCAAGAACTCCCTGGAGGCATACACAGGCGCGTGAGTAGCATCGATTGCCCAATACAGAAAGAACGGCTGTTGGCTGGCATGCTGTGTGCTAATGAAATCAAGGGCTTCCTGGAAATGACAAGAGAATCAACCTTAAATATGGCCACCCATGCTACATATGTATAAGCAAGCAAGTAGAAAGTGCCTGTGGGTTTTAAAGAACGTTTTATCAGAATACAGAGTACCTGTAAGTACATTTGAGTTAGGTTGGCTTCCCCCGTCTTATGGTCAATTTTTACATCTTCGTAATACCTAGAAAGTTTTAAACAAAAAATAGAAAACATGTTCCAGATGTTTTACAGGATATGGCAGTGGCGGAATAAGTGCTTTGCTCCCCATCAGTCCCCTAGGAAGTTGGCAGCGAGTCACTATGTATTAGGAAACGTTACTCCATGTACGCAAACCATGAATACAATCTCAAATAGCTCTGCTCTGTTTCGCTGAGGATTGCTTTTTCGGCTGTTTATCTTATCTAGTTTAATCCAGCTTTCCCCAACACTGGGCCCTCCAGATATATAGGAGTACAGCTCCCATCATAGCCAGCACAGCCAATGGTCAGGGGTGGTAGGAGTTTGGAACCCAACAACATGTGGAAGCTGTTCAAAGTATCTGGAGGGTACAAGGTTGGGGAAAACTGCATTAATGTCAGAGTAATAGATAATGCATAGAAGGGACGCGGGTGGTGCTGTGGGTTAAACCACAGAGCATAGGACTTGCCAATCAGAAGGTTGGCGGTTCGAATCCCTGTGAGGGGGTGAGCTCCCGTTATTCGGTCCCTGCTCCTGCCAACCTAGCAGTTCAAAAGCACGTCAAAGTGCAAGTAGATAAATAGGTACTGCTCTGGCAGGAAGGTAAACAGCATTTCCGTGTGCTGCTCTGGTTCGCCAGAAGTGGCTTAGTCATGCTGGCCACATGTCCCGGAAGCTGTCTGCAGACAAACGCCGGCTCCCTCGGCCTATAGAGCAAGATGAGCGCGCAACCCCCGAGTCTGTCACAACTGGACCTAATAGTCAGGGGTCCCTTTACCTTTACCTAGATAATGCATAAACAGGACCTTTTCCACCCACTCATAAGCACACTAGACTGGGCAGCACCGCAGACAAAAACACATTTAATGCCACACAGAAAGCAATCAGAGGCACTTCTTAATATCTTTTACCTTTAAATGGAGACATACTATATTTCTGTAGAGGAAAGCGTAACTTAGAAGGGGCCTTCAGAGTGATTTTCTCAGGAGTAACATTGGCTGGTGGATTTCAGCCAAAGCTACAGCAGAAGAGTAAGCCAGTTGGGGGGCTGGTGTTTCCTAACTTCCGAGTGATTAACTCTGCAACCTTGTCATTGTTAATGGAGTTCTCATACATAATTCACTGCATATGGCAGCTCCTCAGGGGGTACTGCAAGCCCGCTCTGTGTGCGTATCAGGTGGTGTTTCCATCACTTCACCTCGGGTGCCTGGTGTGTCTCAGTAAGTGTTGACGTGTGGTGGAATTTCTGGAAAATGCAGCCCTGCAGAGGTCCTTGATCCAGAAGCCTAGAGCCCCCTGGCCTCTTACAGGGGGGGAAAAGGCAAACGCCAGCACGTTATGCTCTGTTGGAAGGAAGGAAGGGCAGCAGAATGGAGCCCTAGGCCCTCTTCTGTAGCAGAGCTTAATAGGAGCCAGAAAAAGCAGAAGAAAAGCAAAAGGCAACAAGGCACAGGTGACACAGAAAAGCAGCTACCTGCCAATCATTTCCCAGTCCCTGTAAAAAGGGATGTTAGGTGCTGCCTTGTTATCATAAGGTCCAAAATGGCAATTAGGGGATCCAAACCACTCATCAAATCCATGCCTCAAGGGATGGAACTCAGGTCTGTGGCCAAGGTGCCTAGAAAAGAGTAAGAAAAAGAAAAGAAAAAGAAAAAACCAGTCAGGGATGCATAAGAGAAGACCAATCACTCTATCAGCACTGCACAAAAAATGCACTGTAACAAAGAAGCTGACAGATGTAATAACCCATGGTTAAGAAGTAGACAATGAATGGCCCACAGCTAACTAATTCAGATAATTTGTCTTTGGGGGCTTCCTGGTCCATCACCTGTAACCTCCCAAAGTCCCTTGCTGGACCATTCCCTCTGCTGAACCCTGCACAGCACTTATCAATAGTAGTTTCCATGGCTCAATAATATGTGGAAAATGTAATATACCCTTCACTTGATACTCTTCAGATTTTCTTGGCTACAAGTACCATCAGTCCAAGCCACCTTTGCTGTGCTAGCTGCAGCTTATGGCAGCTGTTGTCCAGAACATCTGAAGGGCTCCAGGCAAAGACTGATGTAACCTTGTGCCATTTCCAGAGCCAGAGCCAGAGCAGGCATTGGTGCTAGTCCACATACTGTAGTTCCTTATGCTGCTCCATAAGCAAAAGAGGAATGATGATGGCAAATGAGAAAACTGAAGCCAACATGCTTAATTTGTATAATTAATGCTTAAGGCGAGTGCTGGCTTTTCAGTTTTGGGTGCTCTTAGAGAAAAATGATTATCTGGATCCAATCCAGTCTGAGTTCAGGCTTAGCCTGAGGATGCACAATTAACTAGTGGCTAGGAGCACCTTTTACCAGCATTGGCTGGTGTACAAGCTGTGATCATTCCTTGCCATTCCTGGACAAAGATAGCCTGGTCACAGCAACCCATAATGTTGGTAACCTCAAGACTGGATTACTGTAATCTGTTCTATGTGGGGCTGCCCTTAAAGCTGGTTCAGAAGCTGCAGGTACTGCAGAATTTGGCAGCTAGACTGCTGAGCAGAGCTGCCTGCTGTGACCATGGGACGCCATTGTTGAAAGAATTGAACTGGCTGCCAATTTACCACCAAGCAATATTAAAGGGTTTTTATTGACATAGGCCTGGGCACTTGAAGTATGTTTTCTCCCATGCTGAGATTCTCAGATGAGGAAGTCTTAGTTGTGCCTCATCTTGCCTAGGGCCATGGTGTGACAAGCCTTCTCCGTTGGGCAACTGAGCTCATGGAATCATTTCCTCCCTGAAATAAGGTGCAGACTCTGATGCGCTTTTGACGCCTGCTAACGACTTGCTTTTTCACTCAGGCATCTGCCAGTTTTTAAGACCAGGTATGTGGCAATATGCGTCATTGTTTTACTGTGGTTGGTCATATCACATTGTTTACTGAGTTACTGTATTTTAACATGTTGATTTTATTTTTGGAATCACGTTGAAGGAAAGTATACCTATTTAAATGATTAAGTCACAGAATTCAGATTCTTTTGGGGGCAGAGTTTTGACCAGCTGGCTAAGCATGGAGGATTGCACCAAACCATGTGACAAGTGGGGTGGGGGTGGGGCAGGCACTGGTCCTCTACTTGCCCAGCACGGCCCACATTGCGCTGTTTTTTTTGTGGGGGGAAGCACCACAAAAAGACAGCCTGCAGAGTGAAGGATGCACTGCATTCCCTCTTCTGCGCTGCACCCCTTTACCGATTGGCAATGACATTCAGCCCTAGAAACAGGCTGACACAACAGGCGCCAGGTCTAACCAATCCGGTGCTTCCTACCCTCACAAGAGGAACTATGCTGCAAGCTCAGACTTAATTAGCTTTCTGCTATGGCTCTGAGGTTGTTTGAGACTTGCTGCTTTCCAGATAACTCCCTGGAACCAATCTGTATCTGTGCTGTTTATTTCCTTTCCCCAGGTGTATGAATTTACATTTATTAGCACTCAGCTGCATCCCATTGCCTGCAGCCCACTGAGCTGTATTTTTCTTCTTCGGCAGTCTGCTGTTTGGATTTGCAGCAATAAATAATTCACGGGTGTGGGTTCATTTGCTTTCTTTCCTAGGACGGTGCTTCTAGTGGCAAACAGCTTGATCATCAGTGAATGTTCGCTAGCTTGTTGGCAAATCCCCTGAAATATATGCATCCTTTCTTGGCCTGTGTTATTTTGCCCCTGTTTTTAATCTGCCCTTCCTCCAAGGAACAATGTCACCCCGCTGCCCTTTTATCTTCAATGAGGTGTAACGTAAGTTGAGCTGCCAACCAGGAGTCACATATACTGTACTGCCAAGCAAGGTGTTTGAAACCAGATCCCCCTGGACTCTCTATTAACAATGACCTTTGAATCTGCTCCCCAAACTAATGGGGAAAAAATGCTCGTGTAGGTGCTGCATTTATTAGCTGTATTATCCTGGCCTGACATTTTTTGCATGACACACTTTATCTCCAGAAAGATTTGGCTATTAATTCTGTTGCAGAATGTGCTACTTGAAATTGGGGGAATCCAATGTGGTGCCCTCTAGATATTGGTAGACCACAACTACTATTGTCTATGACCACTGGGCCCTGCTGGCCGGGACTGGCTATCCTTGCTTTAAATTTGTTACAGCAGCAACCAAGGCCAACACACTTCAAAGTCAGAACCTTTGGGTCTGTGTATGGTTGCCTCATATGGTGAGCCACTCAATTACACACTGACTCTATCTGCCCAGGCTGGTATTTTGAATCCTTCAAGGCAGAAAACCACACAACAGGGTTGCCTGTTCCAGTTAAGGTCTTCCTGAACTGCAGTGTAATTTTGCATCCTTTTGACCATTCTTCAGTCCCGATTTCTGGCTTGTTTCTCAGTTCTGCCTCCTGGTTTCTCCTTTAGTCCTGGGCTTACTCTTTGGTCCTGACTACTGGCTTCAACCCACAGCTCCCGGTTCCTGGCTCACTGCCCAGCCCCAGCAGTGGCATCCTTTGCCACAAAGACTTGCACATGCGATTTTACAATGCACTTTGATCTGAGAACTCCCCAATCCTGAGTCGCCCCATTAATAGATCAGGGAGGTGGCAGTGTAGCTGCAGGTGCTAAGGCCACAGAGTAGAAAGGAGGAGGTGTGTCTTTTAGGTTAGAAGGTAAGACCAAACCATGGTCCTTAAACACATGAACATTTCAAACAGAAGAATCCCCTTAAGGAAAAAGTTACAAAACCCTGCCTGAGCCACTGATCTCTTCATCAGCAGTAAATTCATACACCAATCTGGGAAGTCAATCGTCAGGGGAGCAATAGGAAGAGAACAGTCATCTCTGTCTCTCTCCTTTTTTCTTCCAAAGTGGCTCAGAAATCACACTTTCCTCCTCAGCTGCTGTGAGCCTTTTCTTAACAACCATGATTTATATAAAAGAACCATTTTCAGTGGCCTTGCCGTTACCTTTGTTAACACCTGCGCCAGCACCACAGAGGTTTGTCATCAATTTCAATGATCCAACTCTTAGCTCTTTTAAAAGAGCTCCTGGGATACAGCACAAGCAGATTGTGGGTCAATATTTGTTCAGTAGTTCCCGGTTTACCCTCTGCCCGCCTAGATTATGCTATGACTCCTCGGAAGAGTGCTAGCATCAGTCCTTCTCTCCTTGGGGAAGGGAATGCATCTCTGAAGCCACTCAATAACTCTGCTATTCAAGCAGGATCAAAAAGGAACAGCTTACAATTTAGGCAGAAAGTGCCATACCTCAGAGATCAACATTTTGCAAGGGCCAAAGATAAACGATTTGATGACTGCTTATGGCATGCTCTGGCAATGCAGGTTTGCAATTTCTTATGGAAATAAGTGCAGCATGTTGCCTCTATTATACGATAGTCCTTGGCTCTAAAATTAGTCACAGCAGGTGGGGGGGGACGATTCCCTGCCAAGATTTCTGAAGACAGAAATCACAAATTAAACCAACTTATTTGAACTCTGATTCTCTCACATATAAAGCAAGCCATACAAAAAAAGGGACATATTCAAAAAGGAGCTTTACCATTTGCCAACGATCTTATTGACATAGCCTGTTTTCTTCAGCAATTCTGGAAGGAGGAGCTCAGAATCTGGGATGCCCCCTGTTATGACCTGGGGGGTGTAGGCTGCATTAAGACAAAAACACTTCAGCCAAATGAGAAGGTTTGCAGGTGGTAACATGATTTATTAACTGTACAGTGGTACCTCGGTTTAAGAACAGCCCTGTTTACGAACTATTCGGTTTAAGAACGCCGCAAAACTGGAAGTTGTTGTCGCAGTTTGCGAACTTTACCTCGGTCTAAGAATGGAAGCCTAACGGTGGAAGGGCACCGGTGGCGGGAGGCCTCATTAGGGAAAGCATGCCTCGGTTTAAGAATGGTTTCGGTTTAAGAACGGACTTCTGGAACGGATCAAGTTCGTAAACCGAGGTACCACTGTACTTGGTTGAAGAGTAAGAGGCCTCTTCAAGATCCAAGTGGGATTGGGGGATAGGACAAGACAGGCCAGAAAGACAGGTAGATTAGGGATTAGCAGGATTTAAGTGAGGTGTAGCTGATATGGTAACCTCCAGATGTAGTGGACTACAACTTCCATCTGCCTCTGCCAGCATGGCCAATAGATGGGGATGATGGGAATTGTGGTCTAAAACTGCAAGTAAGGCACCAGGTTGGGGAAGACTGATCTATAATTTATTTATTTCATAAAATTTATACGCCACTTGATTGTAAAAAAAACAACACCTCAAAGCCATTTACAAAAAAGATAATGCAATAAGATTAGCAATAAAAACAATTAACAATGATTTAGAACATTCAAAAATTAAATCAACAATAAACTAAAAATAGATTAAAACATGTGCCATCTTCATTCTAAATATCTGGCCCAAATTGCACCAAACATTAGAGGACATTTCAAGTAACTGTCTCTGTGTCCATTCAGTTTCATGTCTAAAATTTTATTCTCTCAACATCAGGTTCCATTGCAGTGGTGTAGCTAGCCATTCAGGTGCCCGGGGCAGGGTGAGTGGCCCATGGGGGCAGGGCAAGCTGCCCACCGTAGGGCAGCTGACAGGGAGGCAAAAGACAGAAGCAAGTCCCACACTGCTGTTTTGGGCAGTGCAAAGCCTGCAAGCACCTGAGCCACCGTGTCACTCCCAGGAGAGACGTGTGGCTTAGGCGCGCTGCAGGCCCCATGGTAAGTGCCACCCCCTGCAGTGTGACACCCAGTGCCCCCCCCCAGCTATGCCTCTGTTCCATTGATTCCCAAGGTATTTCTTAAAGCAGAGAGCCAGTCAATTGTTTTTAGAAACACGAAGAATGCAGAGGGGCAGGGAACAAGCCAATATGGCAAACCTGCTTGCACCATGCACTGAGATGCAAATTTGCCCTCTGGCTCCCTCACAAGTAATTGGAGGAGAGCTGCTTCCTTTGCTAAATGGCTTCTGTGTTCAATGAGAGGCAAAGCACTCTGCTTACAAAGCACTTTAGATAATGTGAATGTGGTCTGTTTGTGCACATATCACCTGAGCAGGAGAGTCCACTTGTGGTTCTCTAGATAGCAGCTCCCAGAATTGTACCCTGGGCACTGAACTGAAAGAATGGGCAACTAACAGGCCAACCCCCCACAGGAGCTGAAGGATACAGACTTAATAAACTTGGTCCCACTGACACTGGCAGAGCATTGGACAGAACACTTTTGCCAGAAGTCTAAACTGATCACTTGCAGACAGATTTTCCTCCCCTCCTCCCATTTTGGGTCTCCCCCCCCCTCTCTCTCGGTTCCCCCCAGCTGAATGAAATTAGGCTAGGAGCTCACAGGTGCCCCCCCCCCCTTTAAAGCATATCTCAGTTTTCTGTTCATTCTATTGTTCCCAAATGAGAAAAACTGCAGCCTGCAGATCAGGGAGGTACCACAGCTGAATGGCTAACAGGGTCAGCCACCAACATTGCTGGTAGTTAGGAGGACTAAAATAAATTCTTTCTAAAGACCCTGGGGATTCCCTGCCTCAGTACACCAGTGGCAGAACACATGCTCTAAAGACTCAACCTCTGATGTTGCTCTTTAAAAATAAGAACAGGGAAAAGTAGGCCTGCGGTAAACTTCTCCCGAAGCCCTGAACAGCCACCAGTCATCACTGCAGACAGTAACAAGCTACATGGTGGATGGCTCAGAATTAGGTGACAAGCCCCCTTTCATGCCTCAAACAAAGGACATGCAGATCAGGCCTCAGACCGTTAGCTAATTTTAAATGCATGCATTCTTCCATACTTCTTATGGACTTCTAATATACAAGCATCCCTCCACTGTCAGCTAAGAGATGAACACCCACACTTGCCAATATGCAGCACCAATCCGGAGCTGTAAATGCATGCTCTAAAACATATGGTCTCCTACAGCATCTGCCATTTTGGAACAAACAACCCTAACACCAACTAGATCGGCCGCAAATCAGCTCAAGCTGGCACCTCCCAACAGGAGCGCTAGAGCAAAGCACTCATTGTGGACAGCTTGGTAGTGCCCTCCAGATGCCCTTGCCTGGCTTAGTAGGAAGAACATATTTCTATAAGAGTGTATTTCAAACATATTGCTAACCTTCCATAATAACATGCAACTCTTCTCTTCACTCCACCCGCCTTTTGCTGAATCTTAATTAACCTATCCAATAAAACAACTTCTTTAGCAGCAAAAGCAAAAACAGATTTAACAACCTGAGCACTAGAATTTGTACTGTAGCAGGAACATTTGGAGACATTCTCTTTCTGCAGGAAGTTTTAGGTCTGCTTCAGGCTACTATCTGTATCATAGTTAAGATGATCGCAAGCAAGCTTTCATAAGCCTCAGGCTTTCACACTTGCCCTCTTTGCATGCGAGCAGAGAAGAGAGAATGCTTCTGCTTTCCCTTTAAAACAAATTGCACTTCTCTGTTGTGTACAAATTCAGGGAACTATGGTTTATTCTGACCCTGGTTAGTTAACAAAGCCGACTATTAAACCATGATTGATTGATTTGTTTTAACTAGTTAGAATGAACCACAGTTCCTGTAGTTTGTCTATAACAGGAAACTGCAGTTTGTCCTCAAGTGAAGAGTGGAAACCTTTTTCTCTCCTCAGTTTGCATGCAGAGAAGAGGCAGTCATGACAGTCAGTAACACGTGCAGGTTCATTCAAGATCCTATAAACCCTGTTAGCTGGACTAGCAACACCAGGCCTATTTGTTTGCAATACAACCCTGATCCTAAGCCTGGCAATTACTTCCATGATCTCAAAAAAGATTAATTTCTAAGTAGATGTGCTTAGGATTGCAGCCTATTGTAAACTGCCTGGAGGTCTTTTGTTCCAGTAAGTAGTATATATACATTTTGTTAAGTAATGAATGAATGAATGAATGAATGAATGAATGAATGAATAAATAAATAAATAAATAAATGTGTCTTTAGTGGGGGAACTTGAAGCAAGACCCCAACATTTGGGTTGCAAAAGTAAAGGCTCATTTGCTGGAAAAGAAGGACATACCATTTCTGGCATGGGCATTTGTGGTGTAGAAGCCATTCCTGATGGGGAGACGACCAGTTAAGAGTGCTGCTCTTGCTGAGGAGAGAAAAGCAAGGGGTGGGGGCACACAGAAGTAACTGTATATATCCGTTGGGCGACTTTCTTTTCTTAGACAACATCCTTCCTGCTTCAATTTTACTATTTCATCACATCCAGTTACCACAATTTCAGTCCGTGTGGCTGGGGGGACAGCTTGGAGGCATTTTGAGGAAACAGTTACCAGTATTATAAGGTCCTCCAACATAACAATTTCTGCTATTATTTTTCTTTAAGAAAATGTGGTCCTAGAGTATTAGGTTCTAGTACTGCTACTATTACTTATCAAAGCACATTTGATTTGCAATCTTAATCTTTAGAAGTTGAAGACAGCAATTTGCCTAATGTGATTTCATGACAGAGGTACGATTTGTACCAAGCCCAACTCTCCACCCCCTAGACAGCACTGCTTCTCTAGAGCTTTGGAGTTTACTCACATGGAGAACAAAGAGGGTTGGCAGTGTAGAAGCTTGGGAAAAGCATTCCTTCTGCAGCCATCTGGTCTATATTTGGGGTTTCTTTGGAAGGTTGCCCAAACACACCTAGGTCACCCCAGCCCATCTGAAGACATACCAGGACACAATACAAATAAACAACAATCAGTTGAAAGGACTAGTGTACATTTTTATCATTCAGCTATTTAAAAACTTTACTGTAGCATCCACCACTCTAATACCCAAGCACATTGTACAATGATTTCCACTGCTCAGCAGCCTGTTTAAGGTGAGCAGCCTTTTCAGCTTCATGGAAGCAACATGGATTTGCAGGGCAGCGAAGGGGAGAGAACAGTGTCAAGTGACCTTCAGAAACACAAGGAACAGGTTATTCACCATTTCCAGTTTTGTACAATAGGTGGTGTGCTGGCAGCGTCCAGCTGACAAAACACACTATGGGTGAAGCCAAGAAGCAGATCACGCCATCCCTGGCAACACCTCTGTGGGAAGAACTGCATCACATTTTCAGAAACCCTTCTGTATGAAATGTCAGGCTGGGTCAGATCAAAGGTTCACAGAGTCCAGTATTCTGTCTCTATCAATGGTCAGTCCGATGCCCCAGAGAAGCTCAAAAGTTGAGCAAGATGCAAATAAGCCATTCACTGCTGTATGCTTTCAGTGACAAGCAATCACAAATATGCTGCTTCTGAACACAGAAGTTCCATTTCTAACTGTAAAGACCAATAGCCATTGATAGACCAATTCTCCATGATTTCCCCCTAATCCTCCTTTCAAATTCACTACCCCAACTTTGTGAGTGAATTCATTCTTAACACAAATTATGTATGGCTTGATGAAGCAAGTTGTTTTGTGGTAGTTGCATGAATCCCCCCTGGGATGAGGCAAAATCAAGAGAACTTCCAACCTTTTGGAAAATGGCACCATACCTAGCTTGTCCTTGCTGGCACCTGCAGCTAAAACACTCATTCCTGCTTCAACTGCAACTTTTTCTTGACACATATTTACTGAATATAATAAGGAAAGGAGGGTGAGGGGATGAGAACCTTTTTTGTAGCATAGGAAAATACTCAAATCAACAGGAGCCCCCTTTTTAAGGGGGGGGAAAATTACACCAACAATTTCAAGCAGCTAAAAACAGAGTGCAAAGAGTAATAGCCTGAAACTAAAAAGAAATGCAAGAAACACATTAGAAAGCATTTTTCTAACACTACGGTCAGCAGAGCAGTGGAATAATTTCCCTAAAATGGCTTATGAATCACAATCACGAGGTGCTCAAAAACAGACCGAGGCCCCAGACCTGAACTCTTGCTGCAAGTTCATATTGCTAAGCCTTTTACTGAGACAAGCAGTGTGCACTGTGCACAATCCTCCTCACTTCAGTAGGACTAAGCAAGTTTGTGACCCTTGTATGAGGGATAGTTTTTTCAAGTGTTCAAAGTGTGCACTCTTATATGACAACAGCCCTGTAATACTTGGGTCTTTTATTCGCATATGTCAGATGTGAAAGAGTAGCTTACTGAATCTCATATGGACAACTATATTGGTCTGTGCTGAAAGAAATGCAGTGGCGCAATAAGGATTGAAGCTTAATACATATGTTAGTCTTGACTAAGGCCACATAGTGCATTGATGGCAAAGGAAATCCAAAATGGTGATGTTCAGATTAATAGCACACGAGTAGTTATTTATTACTTCTTGCCAGCAATAAAGGTGAAAAGCGAAAGGATTGCTCCACTTGAGACAAAAGGGAGAGGAATATCTAAACACTTGATAGAAGCTGCAGAATAGGCACCCTTGCGCAAAATTTCCAGCTCAAAGAACAATGGTTCCAGCTGCTAGCTCTCTATTTCTGAATGGTTTATACTGTCCTTTGCATAAGCCACAGGGCAGTTTACAACAAGGCAAACAGTTAAAAATCCATAAAAAACCCAATCCTTTAAAAACACATAACAAAAAAATCACTGCTGAAACTCTGAAAAAAATGTGTCCTAACTAGCCACCTAAAACCACTGAGAAATTAGGCCAGGAAGGAGAGGGTTCCATTGAAAAGGCCCTTTCCCAGGCCCCCACATCGTGTATTTCATACAATTTATTATTTAGAAATAAACCTCATTTATTTAGAAATGTACTTCACACAACTTATTTGTAACACACCATTCCTCCACCACCCACACAATCTCTGTAAAACTTGGCAAACTCCAAGCTGGCCCAGAAGCCTATTCATACATTTATGGTGTTTCCCTCCTATCTTTCATCAGGACAGTGTCATGTCATCTTACAAAAGAATTACAGCCCAGCTTACATACCAAGGCAGGGATTCTGCATCAAACTGCAATACTCCAGCAGATAAGCCATTTGCCTCAAATGAGCATCCAGCACCCAAAGGAACATTTTTCATAGCCTTCCTGCCTACTTCGTCCCACATAACTGCTTTGGGACACCCCTCCAACTCCCAAAACCAGTCCTTAAAGAAGGTTTGGGGAACCTGATCTAGGCTGCAGACCAGGTCTTAATCTCTCCAACTCCTCATGGGACAAATTCTGTCACAGTGACATAAGGTGATAACTGTTGCCACAAAGGGCTTGCAAAGAGATGTGTGGTGTGTGTTAAAGTGCTACTGATCAGCAGGCTTGTAGTCCCTGCCTATCAGTTGATAGCTGGTGCCTTTGAAGTTGCTTTCTGTAGGAATCAGCTATGTAATGGAATTCTTCATTAAGAAATCGGTTCTGCAGTAAATCCAGTCATGTCTTGACTACTGAAATATGCCAGGTGTGGAGCAAGTGGGCATGGTGTAGGGTAAAGAGCCTCCCAGCCAAATTTGGCCCATGGGTCGGAGGTTCCCCATCACTGCCTTAAAGGGAAACCATTCCTCTCTCTTCCATCTTGTGGAAGGGGTGGAGAAACTGTAACTCAAAAAGAGGTTTGAAGAGCTAGGTCAACAAGTAACCGATTACTGTATTATTTTTGCCCCACTACCTTCCCCAGGAAAACCTGGTCTTCAGCACTGAACAAATGACAATTTGGGCTTTCCAGAGATTGCTGTTTGCTCCAGTTCAGTGGCAAAGAATGTGTTTTCATGAGGAAAGTGCCAGGACAAAAAAAAAAAAAAAGTGTTCAGACACAGTGCTTTAAAGCATGGGCCCGTGCCTAAAAATGCAGCAGAAAGGGAAGTCTGGAAGAGACCTCATTGTAATTTTCAGCCTAACTTACCTCACACAGAGTTGTTGTGAGGATAAAATGAGTGAGAGAAGTATGTATGCCACTTTGAGCTCCTTGGAGGAAAATATAAACATAATTTTAAAAAATGTAATAATGTGCAAATTGACCCCCAAAGATAAAGCACCACAGTGTTTTGAAAGCAACTGATATTACCTTGAATGCCTCGGTGCCAAAGGTCAGCTCTTCAGACACCAGGATATCAGAGCTTCATGGTAACTCTTCCTCTCTATCAAAATTCAGAATGGAAGCTCCTTGGGGCAGGGAATTGTCTTTTGACCACATTCATTGATGTGGTGGTGCCTGTATATATGTGTGTGTTACCATTCATGTATATGGATGGTATAATCCTAAAACTAGGCTTCTGTTAATTTACTGGAGCCATTTTCTAATACATATCACACTTATTTATTTAATCAATTTCTATCCCACCTCTCCTCCAAGGAGCTCAAGGGGGCATAAGTGGATCTCCCCATTTTATCCTCACAACAATGCTGTGAGGTAGTTTAGGCTTACAGGCAGTGATTGGCCAAAGGTCACCCGGAAAGTTTTATGGCTGAGGGGGGATTTGAAGCTTGGTCTCCCAGCTCCTGGTCTTGACTCTCTAACCACTGCACCACACTGTCTAATGTAAATTCATACATTACACACACATACATATATATGCACATCATTTAATACAGTACACACATACACACATACTGTACCAGTGTATGTGTAAATGACAGTCAGACAGACAGACACACACACACACACATATACCCCCTCCCAAATGTTTCACACCTACCAAATGGGCTCCAGAATGGAAGCAATGCTACTCTCAGCACCACACTTCCTCCAGGAAGCAGACCCACCTAGTGATCCCCAGAGAAGTGGCCCTTTCCGCCCCTTCCCAGGCTCCCTCTCTCCTCCTGACCCCTTTTCCTCACGAGAGGAGGAAGCCCCCCCCCCCACTTGCAGGGACCATCCCTCCTTCCCCTGCCACCTCCCCTTCCCAGGCTCACATCGTCCATCAACAGCAAGACCAAGTTAGGGGGTCGTGGTAGAGTGGTGTTGGCGGCCCTGCCCAGGCCGCACAGGCCCAGCAGCAGAAGCAGTCTCGTCTCCATGGCAACCACTCCAAGCCCACCGCGAGTCCGAAAAAAAGTTGGGGAAGAGGGAACGGCCCAAGGGGCACGTGGGAACACTCAGGGTAACTAGAAAGTCACTACCGGTTCTCCATTGAACGCGCTGAGTTAAAGACATGGGCGGGACTCAAGAGGGAGCACTTTAGAAAGAAGGAAAGAGCCCACGCCACACTTTTGGCATATGGTATCGTTTTAATTATATGTAGTAACCCACCCACAATATGGGAGTTTTGTAAATATAGGTGAAATAATTGCTCCTGGCCCCGCATATGGCGGCAGCGGATATGCTGTTCAAAAAAAGCTGGAAGTGGGAGGAGACTGCCTGGTAACCCTCGCCTGCAGTCTCTATGTAGGAACAAGAGTCTGGGCCGGCTCATTCACTCGCGCCTGAGGAGAGTCACGTGCGCAGAGCCGCGGAGGCGGAGCCGTGGTCCGCTGGGCTCATTGGTTCTCCGATCACGTGAATGTAAATACTGTAAGGGCAAAGATGCTGTTACGTGAAAGAGGGAGGGACGAAGCGAACCCACCAGTACCCAAGATGGCGGTTTGTATTGCTGTGATCGCCAAGGAGGTGGGAGACCGAGCAGGGGCAATTGAGGGACGGGGCGGCGGGTGGGGGAGGGAGGGAGAGAGGAAGGGTAAGGGTGGGGGAACACAAGAATTGCCTTCAGACATTCCTGGGAAGCCGTTAACCAGGGAATGAGGGTAAATCCTCTCTTCTGCTACTCTACCCCCCCAAAGGGTACGTAGCTAGTTAGTCTATGGAACTCTCTGCCACAAGATGTAGTGATGGCCACCAACTTGGATGGCTTTGAAAAAGGGTCGGACAAATTCATGGAGCAGGAAAAGCTATTAATGGCTATGCTCTTTCTCCACTGTCAGAGGCAGGTTGTCTTTGAGTACCAGTTGCTGGAAACAGCAGGATGGGAGAGGTGCTCTTGCATCACGTCCTGCTTGTGGGGCTTCCCATTGGGGCATCTGGTTTGCCACTTTGATAACAGGATGTTGGACTAGAATCAGCCTTTCTCAACCTTGGTTTCCAGATGTTGAACTACAACTCCCATCATCCCTAGCTAGCAAGGCCAGAGCTCAGGGATGATGGGAGTTGTAGTCCAACAACATCTGGGGACCCAAGCTTAAGAAACACTGGTAGATGGACCAGACTGAGCCTGTCAGACTCTTATGCTATGTTCTTAAAGCAGGGCTGCTATCTTTGGCACCTTCTGAGGCTGACACCTCAGCAGGGACTACTGCTGATCCCTGGAGCCCCCAGCTCCTCCCTTCTTGTCACTTCCCATTCAGTTGCATTCAATAAGCAAGAAAGGAGTAACAGCTGCAGCAGCCTCTGTTAAATTTGCGCGCTCTCTCTCTCTCTCCGGGCAGTGGTGCAGGTTGTGCATTAAAGGTAGAAGGACAAGTGAATGGGTTGCAATGACAACCATGATGAGGAGCTGGTTTTCGTCAGGTTTTCTTCTCCTTTCCCAAGTAATAATCAGGGAGGGGAATCGGGAGGAAGCAAAGCACCTAATTCATATATGAACTGTATGTGGAAAACTGTCAAACTTTTTGGGCACATTCTTGTCAGTACGCCTTTGAGCCGATGCCGACGACTAGGCTCAAAGGCTGGTTCTGCCCTGACTGGGCTAGGCGAACTGGAGCTCTTCCAGAGAACTTCCACTCCTGGAAAGCATGTACTTAAAAATGTGACCTTTGCTTGGGGATTTGAGTTCTTCCAGCTGTGAACCAGTTGTCGGTGGCTTGCACCTGGTTTGATTGAGATAGGTGTCTGATTTGGATTCTGTGTTAAAATCGGTCTGAAAAGGTACTACTTAAAATCCTGTTGTGGGAGAGGGAGTTAGAACTGCATAGATCAGTTGGATCACTTCATAGTTCAGTAACTTGGTGGTTTGTTTGTTTTTTCATTCTAGAACTATCCTCTGTACATCAAGAGCATTCCGACAGAAAATGAACTGAAGTTCCACTACACAGTCCACACGTCTCTTGATGTTGTGGATGAGAAAATCTCTGCTATGGGAAAAGCTCTTGTGGACCAGAGAGAGCTCTACCTGGGGTTGCTCTACCCAACTGAAGACTACAAAGTGTATCTTAGATGCCTTTTGGGTTGAATGAGGAGTTGGCCTAGATCACATTCAAGATCCCTTCCAGCTCTGCAGCTATGTGATTGTTTCTCAGGTTCCCTTCTTGCAGTCTTGCTTCATTATTCCAAGAGAACTTAAAGGAGGGTGAAGTTCTGATCACAGCTGGGCTGCAGCACCTGAATTTAGTTGGATCTGTTGCTGTTTAGTTTTAAACTAGTATTGTGTGCTTTGATATATAGAGAAAGGTCATAGCTCAGTAGTAAGGCACTAACTTTGTATGTAGAAGGTCCCAGATAGGGGCATTTCCAGGTAGAGCTGGGAAAACTAGAGAGCTGCCAGTCAGTGCAGGCATTACTGAGCTTGATGGACCAATGGCTGACTCAGCATAGGCAGTCTCCTATGTAGTTTAGAAGTTAGACAGCGGTTAAGGCTGCATGCAACTGCTCTGTGGCCTTAAGACTGTGCAGTCAACAACCGCTACCAAGCAACTTGTTCATCCAGTTGAAGGACAAATCTGGAATGTGATACCACAGGAGCCCCTGGAACTGAAATCTAAAGTCGATTGGTTTAAATAGGGTGTGGGTTGGGCTTGCAAAAGGAGTGACAGTGCAGGGAGCTGCTGTGTATTCAGTCTGAACCCAGTTACATGTGGGCAAGCTGCTCTTTGCTTAGGAAGTGTTTAGCATAACCCAGTTGTTTTGTGTTTATTTGTTAAGGGCTCAGTGATGGAGCACAGACTTATTTGGCCTCTCCAGAAAAGGCTGAGAGATTCTTGTCTGGAGCCCTGGAAAGCTGCTGCCAGTCAGTGTAGACCAGTGGTAGCTAAATTGTGCCCCCCACCGCAAATGTTGCTTAACTATAACTCCCATTGTCCTCAACCACTGGCTATTCTGGCCAGTGCTGATGTGAGCTGGGATCTTCAGGAGGGCTTCAGATTAACCACCCCTGGTATAGACAGTACTGAGAGATGATGGACCAATGGCCTGACTGTGCGTGAGGTGGCTTCATATATTCTTAAAAATAGACCTTGACTGCTGAAGCAGATATGGCTACGTGACCAATTCCAAGGTGAAGTTTGTGATGGTGGTGGATTCTTCCAACACGGCACTCAGGGACAACGAAATCCGCAGTGTAAGTACAGGGCAGCTGCAGGGAGCCAGTCAAAGTAGAACTTCCTTCTGTTTACTCAAGACTAATTGATGCCTACATTCTGGTCACTGAAGTGGTTCTTCCCTTTTCAGATGTTCAGGAAGCTGCATAATTCCTTCACAGATGTCATGTGCAACCCCTTTTATAATCCCGGGGACCAGATCCAATCCAGGTGAGCAGGCTGGTGAGAGTACCTGTCTCTTTGGAACTTAACTAGCTTTGTTGATCTTACAGGGCTGTTGGAAGCTTTGTCTTTCCAGAATCCACTGAACTATTCTAGTGGCATTTAGCAATATTATCCTGAGCCTCTCCCACATCTGCCCTGCAATAGTATTCACCTCGTTTCCCCTTCCAAAATCATGAAATCATGCCATAAACCTTCCTGTCAATTAAGATCTTAGAAGCTCCCTCACTGGGTGTTCCCAACTTTCTGGAGGTACAGCAGGTAGCTGCTAAAGAGTGGGCTTCTTGTGGATTGTATCCAAATTATAGAACTTCCACCTGAGGCATTTTGCCTGGTTGGTTGTTTACTGTTTTTTAGATCAGCCTTTCTCAACCTTAAATCCCCAGGTGTTGTTGGACTACAACTCCCATTATTCCTTGCCAACATGTCCAGTGGTCAGGGATGATGAGTTTCCATGCGTACGTAAGAAAATATGAGTATGCTTGTAGGATGGAATGAGACAGGTGAAGCAACCTGCTTCGTTAAATGCTCTCTTGGATCTCTGCTTTCAAATCTGCTTGCAACATTGAGGAACCTGATTTAAAGGCAACAGTGATAGATGTACCGCTGGCAAGCGCAGCCATATAAGTGAAAAGCTGCCTTTTTATTGCTCCATTATCTTAGTTAGCTGGTCTGTCTTTGATGAACCTTTGCCCTCCTTTTAACACTACCTGTCCCTCCTTTTCCAAGGGCCTTTGACAACATGGTGACGTCCATGATGGTGCAAGTTTGTTGAAGCTTCTGCCTCTTCTTCCAGCTGATTTACCTGTGACAACTTGCCCCACTGTACAGAATTGTTTGTTGTGTATATTCTTCCTTCCAAAATCCCACATTGTATAATAAACTCATTAACTAAGTTAGTCTGTGCTTGTTCACCAAAGTATATGGAAGGGGATGGTTGTAGCCATACCATAAAAAAGTTGAGGAAAAGCCCCCTCTTGCTAGCAAGATGTCTCCCAGGTAAGAGAAACAACTTGGATGAGAGCGTAAGAATAAGCTTGCTGTATCTGACCAGTGACCCATCTACTCCAGCATTCTGCCTCTGACAGTGGATGGAGAACATAGCCATTGATAGCCTTATCATCCATGATGTCTATAATCCTCTTTTAAAGTCATCCTTGTTGGTGGTCCTCGCTTGTTGGATGCAGTAGATCAACCCCAACAAGGTGCCCCCCAAAGTGGCCTATTTACTTGAGCTTGGTTCTACTTCCTTAATGGTTCTAAACCTGTTACAAAAGAACTAGCTAGGGCAGCTCAGAGGGGCGATTAAAAATGGGAGATTAAACCATGAGAGTGGATCAGAACTAAAATCAGTATTTTGTCTGTTCAGAGTCCGCATCAGATTACAGGTGCTTGTCACACAAAGACTGAATCTGGGCTCTTCTGCCTGCAAAATATCTGCTCTTCAGCTAGGTCCCTTTACTGGATTGTACTACTTCAGTTTGCAGGTGGAGCTGCGTATTTAAATGCCCCTTTAAAAATCCCTTTAGTGCAGTAGGTTAGCATGTCAGGGAAACAGCTAGGTTAGTAATCTCTGACCTTCTGTGTTCATGGAGGGCTTCAGAAAACCCCCGAAAAAGGTAACAGGAGAGATATTAAAAACCCAGTCACCAGTTTGCTGTCCAAAGTGGCATAGTCCAGAAATAACTGCATTTCATGGTTTTTTTATGTTCATGCAATGTGACCTCTTAAAGGAGGCAGATTAGCCCAGAGAGAAATCCATAGCCAATGCTTTTGTTGTGGGTTTAGTTTAATCAGTTGGATCTTTTATTTTATTAAAAAATATTAACTTACAAACATTACCACAAATGGCATCTCTATTCACATACAAATGTAATACAAAAAACCCCTTTTCACTCTGCTTATTTCAACTTCTGCCCATTTATTACTCCTTTAGGATACAATCCCCAGGAACATTTCTCCTTTGCAGTTCTCTTACACAAGAGAACTTCCCAGGGGATTTATTGTTTTTCTTATCCCTTTAGGACTTGAAGTTGCATCTTTTCACTTGCCAAAATCAAAAGGTCATGTTTTTCACCCTGTAAAGGTGACCTGCAGCCACCCCCAGGTACCGCACTTCTTGGAATTGCAGTGCTTGAGGAAAAGATTACTAGAATGAATTATGGAATTTAACAGATGTTTCTTTTAGAATTTGCTGGCTACTGTAAAAACACTAAATGTGAAATATAAATTTAGTTAAGATGTGAGCTAGACTGTCCATTCCGGATAACAGTGCAATTCAGAAAACAAGGTGATAAGTTTTGCCCATATGAACAACTTTCAAGGTTTGAGGTTTTTTATCATTATTAACGTTTTGATCTGGCAAGTCCTATTATTTCAGGGCTGCAGAAAGCTGCTTTTAGTATCTATCATTTCATTGGGATTCTTTTGGGCTGGAATGAAAACAGTCTAAACAGAGATAAATAGTAGGTGAGTGCAATAGTAAAAAACTCATTTAAATAGGCAATAGGTTAACTTCAAATAAGCTTTTCTTAAATTAGTTTTAAAAGGAGGATATGATAGGAAAGAAATGCAAGACATGCAAGGCAGACAGGAATAAAGAGGCCCTGCTGCCTCCACTGCTACCCCTTGGTGGTTCTCTTCCCAGCCCACCAAAATCCACACAATTTCCTTCATTTGGCCTCCACAGCTCCTCCCAAGCTGGGAAGAGAATGGAATTTAAAAATGCTCAGATTAGACCCATCAGTTTAAGCTCAAGCAGGTAGCAAAGGTGTACAAAACTGGCCCACCATTTTGAGTTACACCTTCATCACAAGCCCACGTATCAGAAAGTGGTTCTACACAACTAGGCTGAATGGGGTGCAAAGGTGCAAAGTATTACACAAAGACACCTAAGGCTGATGAGAGCTTCACAACACACCTGCCCTGCAAACTTAACCCAGTTTTTTAAAATAAATATATATACAATTACCGGTAATGGCTTTGGCCAAGGAACCTTGGGAAGCACAGAAGTGCCTGTTTTCCAACAGGACTTGGGATCTAACTGTATTTGTTCGCGATCATATGAGAGGGTGAGCAGAAGGACCATGATATAATTAACTCAGCTTACGATTCATAGCATAGACACTCTAGATGCAACGGTGAGGAAGGGGTGGGGAGAGGAAGAGCAATGGAAATAGATGCCCTAGTTGCAAGACTTGTTCATTACTAGCATGCCAGTTGTTTGTTTCTCTATGTAAGAGTTGGATCTGGCCTCTTTCAAAGGAAACAAATCCTCATTTGGGTTTGGGTGATGTACATTTAAAACACCTACCAGGATGCTACTTAGTCCCCTTCTGAAGCCATCCCTAGAGTCAAATGCTTACCAAGAAAATCAACAGGATAATACAGCATGCCAAGAATCACGGAAAGGGTGGCAGAGAGAAGTGGGGTGGTTTCCAGACCCTACCAGAGTTCTAATTTTCTACCCATCAAGAGAAAATTCAAATGAAGCTCTAAATGATGACATATAAATTTGGGGGGAAAGTCATTTTTTGCACGCATTAGGCCACTCCAGCATTTCTTTTTTCCTTGCCCAAGAAGGAGATACCCTGTGTCTTGTCTGGAAGACTGGCATAGAAGTTCAACGCTTGCAAGTTCACTCTCACAGGATAACAAAGGAGAAATATTCTTTGGGCGGATCCAGTTGCTTTTGCTCCCCTGTTCCGGTCCAAGTTGAGTCCTGGCTTGGGTCACCTTGCCCCACTGCCTAGTAAGGCATGTACCAAGGAGAAAGCCTTCCACGGCCCCTGGAGAAGAACACACACATTGGCCATGGCAAAAGTTAGCCTAGATGTTTCACCACCCCATCCCTGGCCAATGCATCATTTACTCAAAGGAATAAAATAAAATAAAATATTGAATTATTAAATTGAAGAGTCGCTTTGCCTAATTTCATGCTGGTGCCAACGAAAGAAACAATGGGGGCAGGTGCAGAGAAAGTGGGGGAGGGGGATAGTTGCCCTGCCCACGGCAGTCCCTTATAGTAAGGATGGGGAGCATTCTTCAGCTGGAAGGCCACATTCACTCATGGGCAACTTTCCGGGGGCCGCATACAAGGGTGAGCAGGGCCAGATTAACAGTGGGTAGAGCAATGGATGTGACTCTTATTTTAACACCAGTGTAGGCTACATTCTAGCCGTGCTAGTACCAGAGGTTTCTACCTGCACAAACACCCGTCTCCATCTTTGCAAGCTAGAGGCGTCATCACAGGTAAGCATTCGAAGATGGGAGAGCAAGGCGAGGGGTGTGGCCATAGGAGAATCCCAAGGGCCAAATAAAGAGTCTTGGAGTGCCATCCATCACTGATAGAATTGATTCCCAGGGGCCTTGTCAAACTGCATTCAGGGCTGTGGTAGCTGGAGCTATGCACAAAGCTGTGTATATTCTATGCTGTGTGATCTCGGCGTACAAGTATGGTATTGTTTTACCGCTGAAAACCACACATAGCAAATTTCTAGCCCTTAATCTTAATAATGAAGCACACTGGGTGACTTTCGGACAGTCACTGCCAGGTTGCTGTGAGAATAAAATGGGGAGTTGGAAAACCATGTGCACCAGCTTGAGCTTGGAGGGAAAAGGTGCCATATAAATGCAATGAATAAAAAATAAAATAAAATATCTTTTGCCATTGCTATTTTTTCATACTGTTTAGTGTTTTTTACTTGGTTAGGCACATTGGGTTCAGTTTGCTAAAGAAAATTGGGATCTAAATTATTAAAATAAACCCTTAGTTATCACAGTCAGTCCAGACTCTCAACAGCAGCAGAGATGATTGACAATGGTGTATGGAGACAGCCCTAAACACAGATCCCTGTACTCAGACCAGCTTTTAGATCCTGCAAAAGACAGAAAAGTTGTTTTTCGGCTCATCTAGGGCAAAGGTGTCAACCCTCCCCCCCGAAACAACTTGGGGATGCTGAAAGTGCAAGCCAAGCCAGAGCAGCGCAAGTGACACACTCGCTCCCAGGGGCACTCCATGCCAGCTGCTCTTTCTGGGATTCCGAGCTGACGGGTTGCTCATTTCTGTTCCTTCCGATATGGAAAAGAGAACTGCTGCCCATGGGCACCACTAAGGTGTCCAACTCCTTGTCTGCGTGCAGCTTACAGGCCCTGCTGGCCACGCAGATGCACAGGTGATGCTGAGCCAGCCTGACAGCAGAAGCACCCAGGAGCCAATGTGCTTCTAATGGCAGATTGTGCTAGCATCTTATACTGTCCCCCAAAAGGCGGTATATAGCAGGAAGAGGTCCTCGGTTCTCCTTCAGTTCCTAGCCCCAGACATCCAGGGCTGGATGCAACTAAGTTGTTGTGCTAGCAGAAACCAGAAGAATGAGTCCTGAGAGTGCTATGGGACTCTCCTCCACACACACACACACACACACACACACACACACACACACACCTGCTCAGGAAAACCCTCTGGACAGCATTGGGGTGTGGGAAGAGAGGAGGGAAGAGTTTTCCATCTGGCAAACAGAAATACTTGTATTGATGGAATGATAGCCTTACTATGATGTTGGACTGGCACTAAGTACTCTTTTGCTGTCCACTCACCTGTGCACCCTTCCACGTGGCCTTAAACGCTGCCCTCCACAGAAACTGGAGCGGCGAGGCAGAGCCCCCCGGCCATGGAAAGCACCCCGGGAACCACCCCGGTCCGTGGAGCTGATGCCTGGCATGTTGGTCCTCTTGGGCAACACCTGAAGCAAAGCAAAGACAACATGGTGCCACAAAATTAGCGCACATCACTTACAGCAGAGATGGGGAGCCTGCCCCCCGCTCCAGGTGTTGTTTTACTACACCGCCCTTCAGCCCTGACTGAGCCTTGTCCACGCTGGCTGGGCCTGATGGAAGGATCAAGCCCAACATCTGCAGAGGGTGCAAGTTTCCACATCCCTGGCTTTCCATCTTAGACTGGGATGTGAACACATGATGGAAGGCACCTTGAAATTTTGCACAGAAGTGAAACACTGGGTTGTAGTTACATAGAATGGAAGTGAAAGGCTAGTTTGGAAAGCAACACACCACATTTGGAAAGACACAGATAGGGAAAGGTATATAGGTACCCATAGACCAGTACTGTCTACTCTGATTGGCAGCAGCCTTCAAGGGTCTCAGGGAGAGAAAGGCCTTTCCCATCAGCTGCTTATGGGGAGATGGTGCCAGGGATTGGGCCTGGAACTTTCTGGATGCAAAGCAGGTCCCCTTCCCACTGAAATACAAGCCCACACCCCCAAGGTACGGTTCTGCATCCCCAGAGACCCCTCTTCCCATGACACACACCTTGATGATACGGCCTCTGAAGGTGCTCTCACCCAGCTCCACAGCAGCCTTCACAGAACTCTTGTCAGCAAACTCAATGTAGGCATACCTGCAACAACAGGAGGAGCTGTGAAAGTCACCTGGGGCCAATTTGCAAGCTTCTGATGGGAGAAAGCTGCACTTGTGTATTCCCCCTGGGGCCACAGTGGGAAGCAGATTTGTCCTCCTCATTGCATCTTTATGTGGGGTGCCCCCAGACAGTCTCTATTTTCAGGTGCAATTCAATCACATCCCTGCCAATTCAGGTTGTGCACTTAGAGTGGATTCAAAGCTCCTGAAAAACAAGCTAGCTTCCCTGAAAGACTGGCTATTTTGTGGTAAGGAAAGTGATGGCAAAATGCACTGGAAACTGTTAGATAACACTATCTTTGATGCAATGTCGCCTCCTCCACAAACAAATCAGGCTGAATGCTACCTCAATAGCCAGCATTGTCTTAGTGCAGGCATGCCCAATAGGTAGATTGTGAGATCTACCGGTAGATCACCGGATGCCTATGGTAGATCACCGGTAGATCACTGCCCCCGCCAAGAAGCTCAAGAACTTCAGCTACCCTAAAAAAAGCTCAACAACTGTGACCTGATCCCCAAAAAGGGGGCAGATCACTGTCAGTTTTTAACTCTGAGGTAGATCGCAGTCTCTTGGGAGTTGGCCACCCCTGTCTTAGTGCGGCCCTGCAAACAAATCAGGATGAATCTACTATTTTGGAAAATTATGTGTCTCTTTGTTCTCTATGCATTTAGACACCTCTTAAGATACCATAACCAAATTTTGTGTGATAGTTTCCTGAGCTCAAAGAGCAGGTTTCTGTCTGTTTGTATACAAATGGATGCCGCTGTGAATCAAGATGGTGGACTTAACCCTTCAAAAGTGCACTGATTTTAACCCACTGATATCAAAACTACATTGATTTTTTGGTTCCTTATGATTCCCATGCAACGCTGGGTATGAGGCTTTTAGTATTCAATACACAAGCCTTCTGGAAGCACTCTCCATCTCAATGACTTGCTGGAGCAATACAAAACCTTCAGAAATACACAATGGCCACTCAGCCATTTGCAATCTGCACTGCCAGGAGTGGAGGGACAGAGAAGAACATGTCCAATCCAGAGGGGCAGCCTCAGGGGTCAGACTCACTGGGCACCTGGCAAGACCCACACCCAGCCATGTTGCTCATGGCTGATCCCCAGAGCCCTGCCATGTACAGGATGATCGCTTTCTTCATCACCATCTTGGCTTGTTACATCTGCCCTCCCGTGAGCCATGAGACGAGCAAAGAGGAGGAGCCAGCCCCCCCCCCCAGTCTGCATTCACTCTGGCACCTGGAAGCCAACCCATCCATCTACCTGGCCCTCAAGAGAGGCAGCCACCCCATCCTTCAAAACCACAACTGCCCCCCTTCCCCACCATCAAATCACTTGCCCTTTAGGATGACCGGAGAACTTGTCGCAGAGGATAGTAACTCTGTTGATCTGACCGCAGCTGTTGAAATGGGACTCCAGCTCTTCTGCGCTTCCACCGTAATCCACCTATAAAGATCACATCACACATGTCCAGACTTCTGCCCCACTGCCCAACAATTCAGGGAAGAGGCAGAGGCTAGTGGGGAAAGCATCTGCTTTTTGCAGAGGGTCCCTAGTTAAATCCCTGGCATCTCCAGCTAGAACTGGTTGTGTCCCCTTGTCTGAAACCCTGGAGAGCTGCTGCCAGCCGGAGTGGACAATATTGAGCTTGGTGGTGATGAATTCAAATCATATCCTGCCCTTCTTCTCCCAGAGGAGCCCTAGGCAGCAAGCACATCATGGACTGGCTCAGTGTGTTCTTTTGAGAGTACACAGTGATTTATAAAGATCAGCAAAGCCTCTGCAGCAAGAGAATCCTTAACCACATGCTGGGGACGTATCAGGTCCTAAAAGCCCCCTTCCTCCTGCCCTCTTCTAATTGCTGGGAGTTAACGTGTCTTAATTTTTGGAAGACATGTGCTGAAGCTCATGCCTGCCAATCACGACCATTCTAGTATCCTAACCATGTGTTTTGTGGTCAACTGGTTGGCATCACAGCAACAAGGGGAGACTGTTCTGCAGGGTCTCTAGTCCAGACACTCAAGGCTGCTCCAGCTCCCTTGAAGCACCATCTCACTTACATTTCCCACGTAGACAGAGCGCTGGTCAACTTCCATTTTTTCCTGAGTTGCACGAGGCAAACCAAGTCCTGTGGAAGGGAGGAGGAGGAGACCTCATGGGAATCGTGGTATGCCAGAAGTGGTTGACCTGTGTCTCTTCAGAGGTTACTAGACTCCAACTCCCATCTTCCTTGACCACTGTCCTGCCTGGATGGGGCTGATGGGAGTTGGAGTTCAGTTTCTGAGTTTTGAGAACTTGCTTTTGAGTTCTCAGCCCTTTGAAATAAGACCACATAAAAAAAATATACATTGATATCCCACCTGTTTCGAAAGGAGTTAAAGGCAGGGCATATGGCCTCCTCCATTTTAACCTCAAGACAACCCTGCCTGAGCATAAGTAGTGGCTAGCCTTCATGGCTGAGTGAGGATCTGAATGCAGTTCTCCCCTGTCTTTTCCCCAACCTATTAGCCACTGCAGCAAGCTGGCTTTCGTGACTTGTAGTGTCCTCATAATACCTGTCCATGCAATCTTGAGGTCCAGAAACTCAAGGATGCAAATTTACAGAAGTTATACTTAACACAGCTTCTTTTCTAAAAGCCTTTGCCAGCCTAGTAACCTCCATTTCTTTTGGATGACAACTATCATCATCCCCAGCAGTGCCCTTCCCACTTGCAATTCCCAATGGATCCAGGCACTGTTCAAAGGAACAACCCAGGCTCTGCCCAAAGACTTGCAACCTAATATTAGAGGTAGCGCCCAGTTATGACTCCCTTTCTCCATTCACTTGCAGGCATTTGAGGTGGCATTGTCCAATGCTACAAGGTCTTCTGGGGCACACATATCTTTTGGAATCACACAGTGAAGCTGCTTGGGATAACAGCATGCCGCTGTCAGCCAACCCTTAAAACACTCACGAAAACCGTACCTGCCTCTGATCTCATGATGAGGTTCTTTGCTTCGGCCTGCAGCTCCTGCAGCCACTCCTCCTCCTTCTCCATCTCACGGACCTTGGCCTTGATGGCCTCCAGTTCCTGCATAGCAAGATTGGGGGAGGAGGCAATAAGAGAGGTGCACAGGGTTGTGTTGAAGGAGCACAGCAGAGTAATCAGCCCATCCTCAGCCAGCTTCTGTTCAAGGAGGGAATGAGTGAGACTCCTGTGCAAAACCAGGCTGCCCATTCTGATTGGGAAGCTCAGTCTTCTAGACCTCCAATTCCAAAGCTCTTAAAAGTTCCAATGTTGGTTAAGTAGATAGGTGTGCGTGTGTATGCACACACACAACTTTGTAAGGCTCAGCAGAAGTGGAGATGGTTTGCTGTTTGCCACCTGAGTCAGTTAACCCAACTAGCTCACCCAGCTGCACAGACAGCCTCTCAGCAATATATTTCTGGCTCCAATGAAACCATGTTGCAAGAAAGCACCCTTGAAGCTGATCCCTTTTGGATTTTATTTTGGTTTTTTTACTTTTTTAAGCTTAGCAACCATAAATCCATCATTTATCAAAATTGATCACAGGCTGACTTCCAAACAAATAACAAATAAGATATACATAAAAGCACATATAAAAGATGCAGCCAGATCAACAATACTTTAAACATGTATTGCCTGAACAAACAGGCACCCTTCCCAGATCACCCTTCACCCACCTGGTGCACTCCAGTTGTTTTGGACTACAACTCCCATCACCCCTAGTCAGCACTGATGGGAGTTGTAGTCCAAAAGATCTGGAAAGCACATGATTGGTGCGTGCTGACCTAGATTAAAGCAGCATTGGTGTCAGACAAACCTCCCAGCAGAGGGTATTCAAAAACTGGGGCAGCACAGCTGAAAATCCCATTCCCTCATTGCTTTTGCACCGCACATCTTACCGTACCTTACTGCCATCCTATGAATATCAGGCTCAATCAGTAGCCCTCCAGCTGTTGCTGCTACTACACCTCCCATCAACCATGACCACTGGCCATGCTGACCGGGGGGGGGCGGTGATGGGAGTCCAAGCATCTGGAGGGCACAGCCTTCAAGTCATCCCTTGGAGTAGGGTTTCCCAAACTTGGGTCTTCCAGCTGTTTTAAGACTACAGTTCCCATCAGCCCTGACTGCTAGTCCTGCTAACAGGGGATGATGGGAGTTATAGTCCAAAAAATAGCTGCAGACCCAAGTTTGGGAAACTCTGCCTTAGAGGCTCTTTCTGTTGTTGTTTCTCCTGCCCCAAAAGAAGCCAAGATGGTGCCTTCCAGATGTTGCTGGATGACAACTCCCATCATCCCTGGCCATGCTGGCTGGAAAAGATTTAGGAGTCCGACAACATATGGGGGCAACCACAGTCCACACTTACAGGGTCTTCCACTTCCAGGAGCTCCTTTCTCTCTCCTTTCAGAGGACTCAGCTTGGTCTCTTCTTCCAGGTGCTTCTGCCAAGCTGAGATTTCAGTCGCATCCCAGGGGGAATTGGCAGTGGCTAGAGACGGAGGGTTCTGCCACCAGGATTCAGCGTCAGGGAACTGGGGGCTTGGGGAGGAAAACAGAAGCACCAAAAGTGAGCTGGAGCTCTAAAGTAACTGGGAATTTACACAGACTCATCCAGACTCCCCACCCCCCACCCCCGTTTTCCTTCATGTGTTTTGGACTATGACTCCCATCAGCCCCATGACACAAAAACGTAAAGCACAGAAATTTGTGCCCATGGCATGCGGGCTTAGCAGCTGGGCTAATTCAATTCTTTCCAACCACAGACACATACAGCAGCAGGAGGAAACCTGTGGCCCTCCAGATGTTGCCAGACTACAGCTCCCATCATCCCTGGCTGCTCAGGCAGTTGGGAGTTGGCATCCAGCAACCTCTGGAGAGTCACGGATGTTCTCCACCCCTGACTTAAAGCATAGTCCTAAGATTCCTCAGGGAGGCGGGTGGCGCTGTGGGTTAAACCACAGAGCCTAGGACTTGCCACTCAGAAGGTCGGTGGTTCAAATCCCCACGACGGGGTGAGCTCCCGTTGTTCGGTCCCTGCTCCTACCATCCTAGCAGTTTGAAAGCACGTCAAAGTGCAAGTAGATAAATAGGTACCGCCCCGGCGGGAAGGTAAATGGCATTTCCGTGCGCTGCTCTGGTTCGCCAGAAGCGGCTTAGTCATGCTGGCCACATGACCCGGAAGCTGTACGCTAACTCCCTCGACCAATAAAGCGAGATGAGTGCCGCAACCCCCGAGTCGGTCACGACTGGACCTAATGGTCAGGCGTCCCTTTACCTTAAGATTCCTCACTCATCATAGCTAAGCCCCACTGAGTTCAATAACGCTCATTCTCCAGCACGCACATAGGACTGCAGCCTTTATGTGAAGCAGAGCCACAGAGGGGTGGAGGGGGCAGAATATATATCTAAGGGACCTGAGGCAAAGCAATAAATGACATCCTCCTTCTCCCAGCCCCCAGTCCAGTTTGCCTGAGGCAGAAATCTCACAAGTGACTCCCATCTTCCCTGGCAATAGAAGCAGAATGATAATAATAAAGTAAATAACGTGCAATTTGCTGCCCTTTCATGACATACATAAATCAGATCCCTAAGGCAAGCTCTTCACGCTGTCTAATGGTAGAACAGGTTCCCAGGAACCAGGTTAGAGGCACAGGGGAGCTTCAGGGACGAGTGTGTGGGGTGAGTGAAACTCTCTCTCTCTCTCTCTCTCTCTCTCTCTCTCTCTCTCTCTCTCTCTGTGTGTGTGTGTGTGTGTGTGTGTGTGTGAGAGAGAGAGAGAGAGAGAGAGAGAGAGAGAGAGAGGTGGAGGGGGCAGAGTATATATCTAAGGGACCTTTTTCAGGCTGAGGGTAACGTCCCCTTCCAGGGTCCACATGCTAGTGGAGGGCGGGGGCAGAGGAAAAAGTGGGCGGTGCAGCATATGCAAATTTTACCTTCGTACAGGAGGCTAGTTTCTACACACGCTCACATACTGCTCTTTCTCCTCCATCCAGGCAAGCAAGGGGGCCTTACCAGAGATCAAGGACATATTACCGCTCGGCAAAAACACTTGAAGAGGGAGTAAAGCAGGGTTGTTGAGCGTTGTGGGTGTGTAGCTCCGAAGACTCACTTGGGCAGCTAAAGAGGGGGGCTCTTTTTGGCCCCCAAATACGAGGCTTCCCATCCCCATTATAACAGGATACACCCATCTTTAAAAGACACCCCTATTTTGTTAAAAAGGAATATATGTACAGGGAGCAAGATGACGTTTGAGTTCAGGAAGGAAGGAAGCAGAACATTCCAGCAGAGAAATCCAAGGGAAATGGAGTTTTGCAGCTAAAAAGCCAGCTAATTTGGGGGAACCAGATACCCCAGAGAGCACCAGCCTTCCTATCTTTTGGCAGGTGCCATGTTAGAAAGCAGCACCTCACAGTTACCTTTTAATTGCCCACAAATGCTTGCTTTCCCATAATAAATATGCTTGCCTTTAAGGTACCACAATGGAGTTTGCTGCTTTGGGATGCAAAAAGCACCAGAAGCCCCTATTCCCTCCTGTACACCTTTCTCAAGTTCTTTCTCCCAGTTGGCAGGGAGGACCTTGCACCCACCAGGCCCTGGCCCCACCCAGCCTGAAACCAAGAAAGAGGCTTACAGAGCTGCAGACCCACTCAAGAATCTCCCTCCCTCTTTATAATTACCTTGCCCCAAGTCCAAACATTGCTGCTCACTCACACCCTTTTTTGCAAGCAAGTCCACTTCTGTTTTATCTCACGTTAAGGAAGAGGCTCAGGCCAGTTTGGAAGAAGCAACAGGTGAAGAAGGTTTCTGGCCTTCCATTTGATACATCAACAGCCAATCAGATGCAGAGTTTGAGCCCCTGGAGGTGGGGCTAGCTACCTTGATGGGAGCAGAGAAGAGAAACACCTCCTGAGTCCTGACAGCCAATTCAAGGTCAGTTTCATTGGTCTGTTTAAAGGCACTTCTCAATTGTATTTAAACATCTCCAAGCGATATGCAAAAATGCAACACAGAAACAGAGAGTGTTTGCAGCTCTGGTTAAACTGACACACTTTCACAGATTCAAAGAAGGCAGGCAAAGGCAAGTTAGATTCTCAAGAAGCTGGGAAAACTTTGTGGACTACAGCAGAAGATATGGGACACTGCCAATTATGACATACGAGTTTACATTATTTTAATTAGCTAAGATAATACAGCATGAGAGTTTCTGGGGAAAGCATTTGTTTGAAATGTCGATCCAGGCTATTTATAAATACCTCCAAATATCGTGTCTGTGTGTGTGTGTGTGTGTGTGTGTGTGTGTATTTGACTGATAGTTTTTTTCAAATAAATAAATATAAGTTTTTATATAAAAAGGACACAAATACAGAGATACAACATAAAACTTAATAAATGCAGCATATTATTAAAGAAACAGTCTGCACTAAGAAACAGACAAGGTGGTCCCTGGCCTTGGTGGTCCCAGTAGCTGCAGCTTTTGTAGCTGGAGTCAATCGGGGCTCCGCCCTCATGGGCTAAGTGGAAAAAGGCTTGCAAGGCAGGGAGCAGGTCCCCCAGGACTCACAGTCAATATGTTATAATCTTAGGTCTGTGGAGCTCCCTGCCGCACAAGGCTGGTTAAAGTGTGTCCTTTTGTTTATAGATGGGACTTAGCTGGTTTTACTAGTAATAATGGTCATGGCTTTGCATGTGTATGTTGATTTAAAGTGTTTAAAGTGTTATGGTGTGTTTGGAGTATTGGGGAATGGTAGTAGGGGGACATGTGCTCTTTCTGGGGCACTTAGTTCTCACCTGTGGCTCCTGGAAGCATGTGACAGTGGCCACACCCCAGCTTCGACTGGCCAGCTAAACCAGGTGAGGGTAGCCTGTGGGTCTCACACCCTCAGTGAGTTAGGGACTTCCCCTGCATGCAAAGACAGGCTCTGGCAGACTGAGCGGACAACACCAGTAGTGGGGCCAAGTGTTGAGAAGGCAGCTTCTGCACATGCTGTAGAGGGAAATGAGGGGCAGATGGGGCTCGTCAACCTGGGAAGGTAGCCCATCTAGGAGAAGGAAAACTCTGATCCTCAGCCTCTTCTGCCTTGTGGGATATCATCAGGAGAAGAAACGGCTAAGGAGTAAATGCTACACAAATCCAGAAGTCCAGAAATCCCTAAGGCAGTTAGATGGCACCTTGTACACCTCTTTCTGGCAGCTCCTGCAGCCAAGCTGGTGCCAAACATATTGCTCTGCTTTCCTTTGGACCACATCATTGAGGCCAAGATGCGGGTCTTGTTGTCTGGGCAGCCCAGGACCTCCATACACACTGCTGAGGCTTGTTCCCCAGGGAGGTCACTTTGGTACTGCTAACACTGTGGTTTGACTTCACCCCCAGAGGTGCACTCCATTTCTTCTTGAGACACACGGACGCCAACAAATTGTTCTGGGGCTGATGGGAGTTGTTCTCCCAAACATCTGGAAAGCACCTTTTGGAGTTCCCTGGAACTCATGGGTAATTCAATGAAACTGTTTGGCTGGAGATTCAGGGCAAATGGAAGTATTTCTTCACACAGTGCATAATTCATTCAAGGAGCTGTTTCTGCCAAGAGATGTAGCAATAGCCACTGGCTTACATGGCTTTAAAAGGGAATTAGACCAACTCTTTGAGGAGAAGGTGATCAGTGGCTATTTAGCATGGTTGTATGAAACCTCTGTGTACAGTGGCAGTTTATCTCTAAGTAGCAGATGCTGGTGAGCCACTGTGGGAGAGGGCTATTTCTCTAATGTAACCTCCTTCTGGGCTTCCTAGAGGTGTCAGGTTGCCTGCTGTGAGATGCTAACTGAAACAGACCTTTAGGTTTCACCCAGCGGGGCTCTCTATGTTGATAGTCTAACTCCTCCCCTTTTAAAATAACTCGGGGATCTCCAATTATTGTTCATGCTGCAGACAACAACGTCTGGAGAGTAGCAGGTTCCCCATCTCTGTACAAACTCATGGAGGAAGAGGAAAAGTGATCTATCAGCAGTTATTAGCCATGATAGCTCAGTGGAACCTCCACAGCCAGGGGTAGTATACATCTGATTACCAGTTGCTGGCAGTATCAACAGGATGCTTGCTTAGATGGGTCTTTGGCATGTGCCAACAGGCTCCTTTTGTCTTTATGCAGGCCAACATTGCTCTTCTCAAAGAATGGATGGAAGGCTTGAACTATTTTTCTGCATTTTGGTTTCAAGACTGTCAACAATATTAGGCATGCAGGCTTGAGTTAAGGCCTGTTAAAGCCTAAAACAGCAGCGATAGCTACAGAAATGAACTATCATTTCATTGTAATGGCTCTGTAAATGATTAATTAAGATGAATACCAACAAATACCAACTTCCCCCCATTTTCTCTTTTGAATTCTTGCACATTCATTGGCACCTGGAATTACTGGAGCCTGGGTTCCAGCTGGAGTGCCAAAGTTCCTCTGGTTCTTGTATTTATACAAATCTGACTACTTCCTTATTGGTTGGTTGGTTGATTGATTATATTTCTATCCCACCTTTCCTCCAAGAACCTCTAGGCCAGTGTTCCCCAACCTTGGGCCTCCAGCTGTTTGTGGACTACAATTCCCATCATCCTTGACCACTGGTCTTGCTACCAAGGGATGATGGGAGTTGTAGTCCAAAAACAGCTGGAGGCCCAAGGTTGGGGAACACTGCTCTAGGCAGTGAACACAGTTCTTCCCATCCCCATTTTATCTTCAACCTTGCAAGGTAGGTTAGGCTGAAAGAGGTGACTGGCCCCAGGTCACCCAGTGAGCATCATGCAGCTGAGGGGGATTTGAACCCATTTTGTTTTTTTAATTTTTTGGCAGAACAGTAGAAGGCCTAGCAGTTCAAAAGCATACCAGTGCAAGTAGATAATTAAGTACTGCTGTGGTGGGAAGGTAAACTGCGTTTCCATGTGCTCTGGCACTTATCACAGTGTCCTGTTACGCCAGAAGCAGTTTAGTCATGCTGGCCACATGACCCGGAAAGCTGTGGACAAGCGTCGGCTTCCTTGGCCTGAAAAGCGAGATGAGCGCTGCACCCCAGTTGCCTTGGACTGGACTTAACCGTCCAGGGGTCCTTTACCTTTTTACCCTTTTTAAAGGGTGACCCAATCTTGGCCTAACATGGCCTTTCCTCCCAAGATCACATCCACCTGTCGATCAGCTGACATCACTTGGGAATTCTGCATTGGCTGTGCAGGTCACTTCCCTGCAGGGAACTGGTGCGGGCAGCCAATACATTCAGCTGATAAATAGGGGGTTAAATCCTGTTTGGTTTAAATTAAATTAAATCCTGCTCACTTCGGAAAAATTCAATGCAAACCCCTTCCTGAATCAGTAAGGGATTGGAACTCCCTGCTAAAATGAAGGGGGGAACCCTTTATTCCAGCAGCGCCTTGCTTCCTGTGCAGTGTTTTGAAGTCCCAACATCTGGACTTCAAAGCACCAAATCACCTGTGACATCAAACTTGCCAAAAAAGATCTGGCCTATGCAGCCAAATAGGTCACTCCATCCCCTAACTACTACACTAAGCAGGCTCTCACTTACTTAACGTGGCAGAAGGAAGAAGCCCCCCCCCCAAAAAAAAACCAGATCCAGTTGGGTGATATTAAATTTTGTTTATTACACGGATACAGAGTTAAGAACAGACGTAACCTGAATCATAATGTTTACATCTTTCACAGGTCAAACATACAGTACATTTAGAGAAAGCAGGAAACAGCGAGGGAGTCGGGGACAGCATGCCGAAACAAGAACAGAAAAACAACCTTCCTATCACATTGTTATTTCTCTGGAATGGCCACAGAAACCCACAAACACCAGGGGAAGATGATCGGGGGATGGGGTGGCGGGAGTCGGGGTGGGGAGTTAGGGTTTTATTTCCTAAAATTTTTGTTTTGTTTTAAATTTCTATTAATTCTCCTCTCTTTAAAACCTCTTTGCAAACACCCACACACACGCGCACCCATGCCCGTCTGTACAAAGCCACGTCCTCCCCTCCCTCCTCTTCACAACACCCTCGGATTCAAGTATTGCACGGTTCTAAATGTGACACACGCTTCCCAAACACCCTGAGAATGGTGCTTTCCTCAGCCTGGCGGCTGCAGGGCTCACATGCAATGCCACCGGTCCGTTTTGTTTTTTAGTCTTTTG